GGCGTCCCTCTCAGGATCATTGAGCTGAACTCCTCTGAGACTGTAGATAAAGAGTTGGAGGTTCTCTGTGCTGCTCCAGGCCTGACTGGAGCTGGTTTGGTTGTTCTCCTGGTTGTTCTCCAGGTTGTTCTCCTGGTTGTTCTGGTTGTTCTCCTGGTTGTTCTGGTTGTTCTCCTGGTTGTTCTGGTTGTTCTCCAGGTTGTTCTCCAGGTTGTTCTCCTGGTTGTTCTCCTGGTTGTTCTCCTGGTTGTTCTGGTTGCTCTCCTGGTTGTTCTCCTGGTTGCTCATATTTCCAAAGCTCTGCCGACCTTCAAGCTGCCTCTGTACACCAACCCTTTTAGTGACATCATGAAACATCAAAGGAGCTTCTGTTTCTGTGATGATGTCACACAGGTTCAATGACATCACACGTCAAAGAATCTTCCTAATGAATCGAGATCTGTCTCAATTAATTTTTTTTGGTTCTTCAGAACCTAACCCTATAAACTGTGATGTCATCAGTGACATCACAAAATGAACAAAGATGAGTCATAAACAATGATGTCACATCAGCTGTGATGTCATCAGACTGATTCCATTATATTAGGAAAAAATGAATCCATTAAACTCTAATGCGGATTAAATTACATGTTTTCAAGGTTGCTAGGCAACAGGAGCCACGCTTCATGACACAGCAATAAGTTCCACCCTTATTGCTTGTGCCGCAAAGCGAAAACCGTCTCATTTCAGACGACGTCTCACACACACACACACACACACACACACACACACACACACACACACACACATACAGTGACCTGTAGTGACCTGTTGTGTTGACGATTGTTGCTGAGTTTGCAGAAACACTTGTGTCACAGCTGTTATGAAACTAAATTAAAACACAGACAGTCATGTGGAAAACACACACACACCTCACACACACATACACACACACCACTAAAACACTGGGACTATCAATTAGCAGGCAGGTGCTGGATTCCTCACAGAGCTGATTTGGAGAGAGTTGTTCAGAACTCAGACCCTCAGAGATCCTGATCCTCAGAGACCTGGACCCTCAGAGACCCAGACCCTCAGAGACCTGGACCCTCAGAGACCCGGACCCTCAGAGACCCTGATCCTCAGAGACCTGGACCCTCAGAGACCTGGACCCTCAGAGACCCAGACCCTCAGAGACCCAGACCCTCAGAGACCCAGACCCTCAGAGACCTGGACCCTCAGAGACCCGGACCTTCAGAGACCTGAGGAGAGTCAGAGTTGTGACATTACTGACCACAATACATTTCTTAACTCTGCTGTTTTTATTCTGTCCTGTTATTATAATGTTTTCTTTATCATTATGTGCATTAGTTGGTTCAGGAAGAAAACCACAGAAGAGGAAAAAAACGATCAATAAAGGATCATGTAACAGAAAAAATCATCTGTCTCAACTTCACTGAGAATATTTCCATTATTTCTTGTTTGTGATGAATAATGACTGAATAATAAAGTGTAAATAAAAACAGTGATGAAACTTTCCCTCCGTGTGTGAGACATAAAAATATTCAACTTCCTGGTGTTTGTGTCTGAGTCATTCAGATGTTCAGTTTCTACACTCTATTATTTTATGTTTCATCTGAATTAAAGACTCCATTGTCTGCTGACACAGACACAGACACAGACACACACACACACACACACACACACACACACAGACTAAGCTGCTGTCTGTAACTCAGCTAAAGGCTAACAGCTAACAGCACCATAAAGAGTCAGACATCAGAACATTTAGACTGAAGAACATGTAAAGTCCAGATTTTCTACTTTTTACTTCAGAGACAAAAACTTCTACATTTATTGTGACTAGTCAAGATTTTACTTTGAAAACAAATGAAAATCTGCTTCAATGGTTTTCGTTCGTTGGGATCTGTGATAAACTCATAAAGGTTTCATCCCTCACTTCCTGTCACATGATGACTCACATCTCAGACAGAAGAACGAACTATCTGAGAGTATCTGACGTAGTTAAAGAAGCTAGTCACATGACTCAGGATCAATGATCTGATCATGTTATTCATGACAGTTTATCAATCGGGGTCCAAGTAATTATTTAAGCTGATGACACTTCTGCACTATGATTTGAGTGAGACTTTGAAGCTAAGCTAAGCTAACCTAAGCTAAACTCAGCTAAGATAAGATGAGGTAAACTAAGCTAAAATAATAAAATAGAGTTAAAATAAGCTAAGCTAAGATAAATTAAGCTAAAATAAGATAGGCTACCATAAGCTATGATAAACTAAGCTAAACTAAATTAAGATAAGATAAAATAAGCTAACATAAGCTAAAATAAGATAAAATTAGAGATACTAAGATAAGCTAAAATAAACTAAGCTAAGATAAGCTAAGTAAAGATAAAATAAAATAAAATTAGAGTTCTAAGATAAGCTAAGCTAAGATACCATAAGCTGTGATAAACTAAGCTAACTAGGTTGAGATAAAATTGTTGGTGAAAAGGTTCATGTGTTGAACGTCTGGCTGCCCCCCGGTGTTGGAGGAGAACCTGCAGAGCTGTAACGTGTGAAGGAGAATGTGTGTCTGATATGTTCACCTGTAGAAAGTCAAACTCCACTGGAGAAACAACTGATTTATTTCATCTCACAGATAAAAGCAGATTCATTTCTTCATATCCACCTTCATTAAAGACAAGGTTTTCATCATTAGACTTCCTCACAAGGATCAATGATGTGATGATGGTCATTATTGAACACTGCTACTGGGCAGACAGCTCTCATCACCATGGTAACCCACAGCAGCCTATAATGTCGGCATTGATCTGCCACCATCCATCCTGGGAAAAATGAAATCAAATAGGTCTAAAAATAGACGGATGCTGGCTGCCAGCCAATCAGAGAGGAGATGAGGCAGCCAAGGGTGTGTCTCCCAGACACTGTGTGTGTGTGTGTGTGTGTGTGTGTGTGTGTGTGTGTGAACGTTTTGCTGAGTCACATTCAGGACAGAGGAGGAGGAGGAGGATGACTCCACTCCTTCCTCCTCTGTGATGTCCTCCTCCTCCATGTCAGCGTCCTCCTGATCAAACTGACTCTAAACACAGCTGATGTGGAACCAGAACGTCTGGGTTCTGGACCTGGAGTAAGAAAACCTGGTCCTGGTCGTGACCCGTGTAATTCGGGTCGGCTGATTCGCTTCATATGTTCAGATAAGGATGAAAAACAATCTGATACAGTTTATTCATCATGTTCTAATCTTTCTGCTTCAGGGAAGAAAACTCTAGCTCGTTTCTTTTTCTTTAACCAATCACAATCGTTGTGGGCGGAGCTGAGCAGAACGAGTCTGAGGGGAACTCGTCATGGTGGAACATTTGTATGAGGGGAGGTGGACGTCGCCTCTGTGACGTCACCCACAGGTTTCTGAAGCTCAAACTGAGCTGTTCCACCATCGCCATCTTGGCAGTGTCTGACTCCGCCCTTAACTCCCAGCTCATCCATAAATGGTCAAAGAGGAGGGGCGTGGGTGGAAACCAAGACTTTGGTGTTGGTTTAATAAGTATTGCAAGACTACGCTAACGTTAGCATTATTAGCACAGCTGGGTGCCTTGCCTGAAGGCTAACCTAAGGTTAATTCATTTGCTAGCTAATAAGCTATGTAACAAGATAAGCTAATAAGCTAAGTGTGGTGAGCACAGACACCGATACCTGCTAATTAGTGCTAACATATAAATAAAATCACACTAGAATTTCACTCGTGGCTGTCAACGGTGACAGCACCTACCTGTCACTCAAAGAGGCCACGCCCTCAATCCTCCATAACTTTAGTCCTTAATAAAATGTAAACAGGTGAGTTTTATAAACAGGTGTCATGAAGGAGGAAATTAGCTCTAGAGACCAAAACAGTTTTTTTTTGAGGAGGAGGACAGAGGAGGACAGAAGAGGACAGAATAAGACAGAGGAGAACAGAGGAGGACAGAGGAGGACAGAGGAGGACAGAAGAGGACAGAAGAGGACAGAAGAAGACAGAGGAGGACAGAGGAGGACAGAAGAGAACAGAGGAGGACAGAAGAGGAAAGAGGAGGACAGAAGAGGACAGGACAGAAGAAGACAGAGGAGGACAGAAGAGGACAGAAGAAGACAGAGGAGGACAGAGGAGGACAGAGGAGAACAGAGGAGGACAGAGGAGGACAGAGGAGGGCAGAAGAAGACAGAGGAGGACAGAGAAGAACAGAGGAGGACAGAGGAGGACAGAAGAGGACAGAGGAGGACAGAAGAAGACAGAGGAGGACAGAAGAAGACAGAGGAGAACAGAGGAGGACAGAGGAGAACAGAAGAGGACAGAGGAGGACAGAAGAAGACAGTGGAGGACAGAGGAGGACAGAGGAGAACAGAAGAGGACAGAGGAGAACAGAGGAGGACAGAGGAGGACAGAGGAGGACAGAGGAGGACAGAGGAGAACAGAAGAGGACAGAGGAGAACAGAAGAGGACAGAGGAGGACAGAAGAAGACAGTGGAGGACAGAGGAGGACAGAGGAGAACAGAAGAGAACAGAAGAGGACAGAGGAGGACAGAGGAGGACAGAGGAGGACAGAGGAGAACACACTGAGAGGCCTTTTGTGTTCACTTTGAATGAATGAATTATTCTTCCTCCTCTTTTTCTTCTTCTTTCCAATAGTTTTTTCTATCTCTACCTCCCACAACTAATCTCTCTCTCTCTGTCCCTTTTATCTCTGCCTCTCTCCACCACTTCTCTCTCACTCCAGTGCACAACAGTCCCAAGTTGCTTTTATATATTACACTCCCTCCCTATCTCGTAAGCGTTCTCTCTCTCTCTCTCTCACGTGCCCTCTCTCCACCCCTTCTCTCTCTCTCTCTCTCTCTCTGATCCATTAGCAGGAAGAACAGATCGCTGGCAGACGAGAAGAGACGAGGCGACCGAGGCAGACGGAGCAGAGAGCAGAGGAAGGAGAAGAAGAAGAAGAAGAAGAAGAAGAAGAAGGGAGAGAAGAGCAGAGAGAAAACATCTGAATAAGAAGAGAGGAAGATAGAAGAAGACAAAAGAGAAGAAGAAAGAAAAGCATCATGGACGCTCTGAAGAAGGGATTCTCCATGGCCAAGGATGGCGTGGTGGCCGCCGCCGAGAAGACGAAGGCCGGTGTGGGGGAGGCCGCCGCCAAGACCAAGGAGGGAGTCTTCTATGTCGGTGAGATGAGGGATGGATGGATGGATGGATGGATGGTGGAAAGTGAGACGGATGGATGAAACAGTACAAGAATAAAAGAATAAAAGATGATGGAGGGATGATGAGAGGGACAGTGAGACGGGAGGAGGAATAAAGATAAAGTTCAATTTGACATGAACTGACAGTGAGTTATGAAGTGAAGGATGGATGAAGGGATGGAACGAAGGACAAGTGAAATTCAACACCAAACTGTGATGGAGGGAGGGAGGAGGAAGGGGGTGTGAAGAAGAGGAACTGACAGAGTAAAAGTTCATGTTCACATCACATAAATTCTTTTAGTGGAAAATGAAAGAGGGATGGGTGGAGGACGAGGGAACTTCAACACAAACTGACGGATAAATGGAGGGATAGAGAGATGGAGGGATGGAGAGATGAGGGATGGAGATGGAGGGATAGAGAGATAGAGAGATGGAGGGATGAGGGATGGAGAGATGGAGGGATAGAGAGATAGAGAGATGGAGGGATGGAGGGATAGAGAGATGGAGGGATGGAGGGATAGAGAGATAGAGAGATGGAGGGATGAGGGATGGAGAGATGGAGGGATGGAGAGATGGAGGGATGGAGGGATGAGGGATGGAGGAATGGAGGGATGAGGGATGGAGGGATGAGGGATGGAGGAATGGAGAGATGGAGGGATGGAGAGATGGAGGGATGGAGAGATGGAGGGATGGAGGGATGGAGGGATGGAGGGATAGAGAGATGGAGGGATGAGGGATGAGGGATGGAGGAATGGAGGGATGAGGGATGGAGGGATGGAGAGATGGAGGGATGGAGGGATAGAGTGATAGAGAGATGGAGAGATAGAGAGAGGAGGAGGAGGAGGAGGAGGAGGAGGAGGAGGGAGTGGAGGAATGGTGCAGCGTCTGCAGTGAAGTGGGCGGTGCGGCAGTGAACTGGGCGGGGCCCCAGAGCTTGTGATTTACCTGTGGATCACCTGTGGTTCTGGCTCAGGTTCAGGGTGAGGAGCTGCTCCTCTGTGGAGCTGCTTCAGGGATCTGATCCGGATCCTGGACTCCTCCCAGTGGAGGTCTGCCAGTCTCATGTGGTCTGGGAACTCCTCAGGTCCCTGTCATCTGGATGCATGAAGGGATGAAGGAGGAATGGATGAAGCCAGGCGCTGAGAGTTAGATACAAACTATAAAAATTAACCAACTGAGCAGAAAACAACCAACTACAGTTGCTCTCTGAGCCACACACACACATGCATGCACCACGCACAGACACACACGCACGCACACACACACACGCACACACACACACAGATACATACGCACACACACACACACACACACACACGCACACACACATGCACAAATGCACACACACACACACACGCAAGCACATACACAGGCACACACGCACGCACATACACACGCACACACACACACAGATACATACGCACGCACACACACACGCACGCACACACAACACCTCATATTTCAGCAACCATTGTAAACCAGTAAAACCAGTGAAGTGGTGACTCCTTACCTTTGAGGAGGTCTAGAAGTCCTGTTGTCTGTGCTTCCCTCCATTATTCATATTCCTTTAGTCCGTCAGGCTCCACAGATCACAAAGATCAAGAGTATTTTCATGAAAGCGTTCAGAGTTATGACTATCATCCACCGCAGACTGCTGAGTATTTATTTCTTCGCAGCACTTCTCTCCAAGTTTCATCCATCTCCCTCCTTCCTGCTGCATCAGTTGCTGTGTCAGCTGGTATGATTGTGTGCATTAGCTTTCTGGCTACAAAATGGAGGTCTCCCTGCAAAGATCTGTTCAGATTGCACTCCAGGAGATCTTGGTGAAGATAGTGAGCGCACCTGAGCGAAAAACAGATGATACAATTCTTTCAGTCGGAGAAAGCGCTGCTATTAGTTAATGCCTCTGTCAATCATTCTAGCTTGACAATGCCGTAACCAATGAGACCAAACAAGGTGGGATGGGCACTTCTGAGCTGATGCTGATTGGCTGTGGGAGCTGTGAAAACAGCTGAGAGGCTGCAGGAGGATTCAGGTCGGCTTTGAATGTTTTTTTCCGCGGGAAAATGCCATGGACAGGAGTGTATCCTGATGAGATGTCTGTGTGTGTGTGTGTGTGTGTGTGTGTGTGTGTGTGTGTGTGTGTGTGTGTGGCCTTGTTAATGATTTGGTGTAACACAGTGAAGTCTGTGCTGAAGGCGGAGTCTGTGTTGAAGGTCCTCCTGTTGTCTACAGGTTTGAAGCTCTGTGACTTTGGGGCGTGTCAGACTCAGACTCAGCTTGATCCTGTCATGTAACCATGGAAACCTGCCAAAGATTAAAACATAATAATTATTTATCGACTGTTATTGTGCGACTTGACGGGAAGAAAACAGCCATTAGAGATCAGACCTCATCAAATATACATCACATCTGGTCATGAGCTTCTTCCTGTAACTGATGCTCTGCTGCTGTTTGTGTATTAGAAAACATCTAACAGTGAATCAGACTGTGTTCACTCAGACAAAGACTCTGTTCAGTCCCATCGTCACATGACCGAGCCGCTCCACGCCCACAGGGTCCACCAACACTCTGAATCTGGTTCTGCAGTGTTCATGTTCTTCACTGGACTCTAAGTCACAGAAACAGTCTTTACCCAGTCCTGCACTGGACATGAGAAGAACACGTGATTCTACATGTACAGAGGGAAAAGTTTCCAGTCGGGAAGAAACAGTTTTTCTGGCAGTTTTCAGAGTGCAAATAAAACGAGCCCACAGGTCGTCTGTGCAGCAGGTTATTATGACCCATAGTTAGGTTTTGTTACTAGGTGACATCTAGTGGTCGTAGTAATGATGACAGGAGCGAAAGGAAAAGTGCGGTGATGTAGTATAAAGAGAGACAAAGGTGAAGCACCTGGAAACATTTGCTCTCATGTAGAGCAGTGAAGAGAACAAACACCTCAGGTCTGAAGAAGGCTGAGCTGCAGTTCCTCTCACATCCACTAGATGTTCCTCCAGATGAGGAGACGCTGGAGAGGATGGAAAATAAGACACAGGTTCAAATCTGAAAAGAAGTAAATCAAGTGAGAATAAAACAAAGTCAGTATAAGCAGAGTGAGGGCTTCATGCAGGAGGCTGCTGCTGCTGCTGAAAACTGGGTGACATGAATAAATAATTCAGAGAACAGCTGAGCTCAGGAAACAGGTCAGATCCAGATTCACACTCTGATCCAAACAGCTGTGAGTCTGCTGAAGACCTGAACTCCTCTTACTGAACAGAAGGAAAGTCACAGTGACACAGTTTTATCCTTTAAGGTGACAAATAAAAAAACTGAAAACTGTCACTTCTACTGTTTTATCTACGAAGCTACCATCACTAGCGCTCCTGCTAATCTAAAGCCAACAGGGAACGAGAGCCATTTGGGAGCTTTTAATGTGAAATATCTAAAGGAAGTGTTGAGTTTCAGTGCAGGAACTGAACTAGAATTAAAGTAGAAGCACATCAGAAAACAGAGGATCAGATAAACATATGCAACTATAAATAAAGGCCTGTCTCTGGTTCATGTAAAAGCTGCTGCCATTTGATTTACATTTGGTTTGTGAGCTGAGGACTGAGATGTCGCACCAGGACTGACACTGATCGTGTGTTTCCAGTAACATAATTAACTGAACTTAAAAACGTGTCATGAAAACACGTGAATTTCGAAAAAACTCTCAAATATCACAAAAATATTTACACGCTCACACGACAAAAAAATATTTCACAATATTTCACATTAGCATGAGAGGAGAAAACCAGCTTTATTCTCATAACATCACTTCAGTGGGTGAAGATGAAGACCAGCAGTGAGACTGAGGGGCTGCCGATCACTGTTACACTCAGCTGGACAAATTATGAATAATTCATATCAGCAGCCATGTTTTTTTCCCCTCTGTCTCCTAGGAAACAAGACGATGGAGGGAGTGGTGACAGGTGTGAACACAGGTAACTCATACACAGCTGCACATCAAACTGATACAGTGTAGAATGAGTCCAGGTTGTGAAGCCTGAGTTCAGTACAGACCAGAGCACACCTGGACCAGGTCTACCAAAGAGTCCTGCAGGTGGATATGAAAACATTAACACACCTTTCATCTCGTGTTGTTTAGTCGCCCAGAAGACGACCGAACAGGCCAATGTCGTGGCCGACACTGCGGTTACCGGGGCCAACGAGGTCGCCCAGGCAACGGTGGAGGGGGTGGAGAACGCAGCTGTGGCGAGCGGATTCGTCAGCACGGTGAGTGATGTCATGTCACATGAAATGTAGTTTTTCATTAATGTGTTCTTTTATATTTAAAAAGTGGTTATTTCAGCTTTTCATTTTTTAAAAACCTTCAAAACTTTTCAGTTTATTTGGATTATTTTAAATGTAGTTTTAGTTTTCATCAGCAGGTATGTTTTTATGGTTCAGAACATTATTCTGGTAAATAAGTCACGGGTTTGTTGCACTTATACAAACAATGATAAATATATGTTTACATTACACTGACATTTGACCAAAATGTATTCTCTTTTTCTGCATATAAACAAAAGTTAAAAACCTTTCTCCTTTAATTTGGTGTAGTTTTCTCCAATAACAAGACAAAATTATAAAATTATAAAAATTATAAATAATATAACTATATATATATATATATATATATATATACACACATATACACATATATAATAAATATTCAGCTACTCATAACTACATATGATGAAAAAATTTAATACTGATATTTTCCTCTAATATTTTTTGCATCATGACCAGTTCCTACTGTAGTTAATGTGATAATCTGTGTTGTGTTAATAAATTAAATTTTTTGTCTTTCTTCATTCACAAATCTCTGGTGATTGGCTGGAAACAGGAGGAGGCGGGACCAGTGGCTGAGCAGGTGCCTGATTGGTCAGGGGGATTGGTTGTATAGCTTGATGCTCGTTGCCTGATGTGACTTTAAAGACTTTTTTAACAAAGATTTGATTAACTGACCTGCAGTTTGTACAGAACTGAGTGGCATGTAAAGCCTGACATCATCACTGTAGGACAGGAAAGTGATTATTGACTGCATATCATTGGCCATGAAGTTTAATGTAAAGAGACATAGGGACAAGGATGTAAACGCTACACTAACATCAAGTCACAACAAAAGATGTTGCATGAGCAACAGTTGTCGTGGCAACTTTAGCACTAACAGTTGTAGCGACAGTATCGTTAATCAAAACTAAAGTCTGTCATTGTCCTGACTTTTGCTTTCATTACAGATGTTAAAGCAGGAACAAGACACGGCCAGAAAGTTGCTAATATCATTGCGTGATGATTGTTGTCACTCAGATTTATACAACTAACAAGGCATGAAGGAGAAGGATGCATTGTCCAATCTGATGTTCGATTGTACGCTGACGACACTGTTCTCTATTCTACTAACAACAACCGTATCTTTTTACAGAAAGAGAGAGAATCTCAGCAACACCTCAACAGAACTTCAAATTTGGCACAAACATTCACTTGGACTCAAGGACGAACTGATTAGATTTTGGGGGATAAAGCTCAAGGTCACGGTGACCTAACAATACTATTTTATATGATAAACAGGGATGTAACCTGAAACTAGTCCGAGTGGCGGAGGGATATGACCACAAGGCAATAATTCTAGTTTTAGTTTAATTTGGATGGATATCACCATGGTGTTGATTAGCATAGCATTTGGCTAGCTCTTTTTTTTTGACAGGTTTAGGAAACAAGGAAACAATGACTAACATGGATGTTTCAGCTTCACTCATCTTTGGCTTCATCTCACATTTCACCCAAGAACCAGAAAGATCTCTGCACATTTCTAGTTTCAGTTGCTGTCCTGCTGCAGTACCATTATACAGATATAAAGTTTCACTTCTCCCAAAGTAAATGGTCTAAACAAGGTTAAAGGTCGCTGCATGGTTCAATCTGACAAGACCAGATTGATATCAGAACGTGTTTTACAGGTTGAACAATCATGAGAAATTTATCATTTAAATCTCTCACAAAAGATTGTGATTTTCATGCGACTGTTTGTTCATAAAGAGAAATATGTCGTGTGACGTGGTTCCAGGACTGCGACTCTGAAGCATTCTGCATGTTCTTAGTGTTGTAAAAAATATGGCGGCTCTATATATCTAAATCTATCCATCGAACACAGAGTTTTTATACTATATGGAGGAGTATACTCTGGGTACTCATTGCTTCTCAGTAACAGACAGTTCCATATGATAACACACACTCCAAAGTGATTTGACTATTTGCATTCGTTGCTTTCCACAGCTTAAAGTTAACACAGATCGACTGGGTTTGGGAGAATTGCAGCTTTATATGTGGATGGATTTGTATGGAGGGGGTGGAGTTTGGCTGCAGTCATGTGACCTCTGTTCTTTGTCCCCTGCAGACTGACCTTCCAAAGACAGAAGCAGGAGAACAGACTGAACAGGCTGCACAGTAGGTGAGAAAATCAAACACCTGTTTCAGTGTCGTACACAAGTTTTTAACAAATCAAAGGAAATGGTGCACTTGTGGGGGGGGGGGCTATTTTCAGCAGCGGATGAATCCATGTGCTCTGGTCAATATCTGGGGCAGTAGGAAGGTGTACAACAAGAAAACCTTGGGTGGTTGTTACTAGCAACAAGAAGACAGGAGCTGTGTCCTGATTCAGGGGTCCCACTTCAAATGCTCCAGGAAACGGGGCCGTCGTTTAGTGTCCCAACATATCCCAAGATTCATTGTGCCGCCTTAATGAAAATAATATGGCAGCAAACAACACAAAACAACGGGATTTATATATAAATAAATACATATATTTACATATATATTTATATATCTATATATATATAGATATAGATATAGAAATATCTATATATATTTACATCACATGAACAAAGGAGAAGAGATGAGTTGAACTGACTTTAACCACTGGGATGGTCTGAGTCTTGGTTTTGTTTTCGGTGGTTTTCTACTTGTTGGTCTGAGTCTCTGATCCTGGATCTGCTTTGATTACATCATTACATTACAAATAAAATCATTATAGAATATGATCAGTTCTTATTTAACACAGAGCTGGCTCAGACAGACTGACTGAGGAGTGTCTCTCTGAACTATGAGGATGTTAAATATTCACACTTTTTAATTCTTTCTAATTGAATTGAATTATAATATAATGAATATAATTTGTTTGTTTGTTTCAGACTCGCTCACTGAGGACGAACGACCGAAGACCAACTACACATTTTAGCCGAGGCTCCTCCCTTTGACCTCTGACCCCTCCAACCCTGAAAGATGCTTTACCTACTGTGTGTAACTTAACCTCATTAACCAATAGAAAGCCTCATCCTCATCGTCCCTCCTGTTGCCGTGGTTACACTGCCTCTGCATCATACTCGTCACTTGTCGCACACACACACTGACGTCAGATCAGTTTAATCAGGTCGCGTGCTCTCAGCTGATTGGTCGGTGTGGGATGAAATCACCCAGGCCAAGTGTTCAGAGACATCTGAGGCCTTTTAAATGCATGTCGCTTTACTGACCCACACTGAGAATACCACACACACACACACACACACACACACACACACACACACACACACACACACACACACACACACACACACACAAACTAATAACTGAGCTGATTCTTCTTTTATAAAACAAAGTGAAATAAAGACGAGTTTGAAATTCACCTTAACGACTCTGTTTCTTCTTCACTGATAAATTACAACAGAAACACTGTCGCCGTTAGCAACATGCTAAAGATGTTACTGTTCACATGATGTCTCATTAATGCATGTCGGCCTCACAGTTCTTCTGTTATTAACGTTTTCATTTGAAAATGCAAATATAGTGTTCAGAGGTTCTCAGAGACGCAGTGATCAGCTGTGACCACCAGGGGGCGCTATCACCGCTCCTACAGACACAAAAAGATTTTCACTCACCAAACTTTGGAGCTGCTGGAAACATCTGGATGTGATATCGCTGCTTCTCCATGATTGGCCAGTCCTCAACAGGAAGTGGAGGCGTGTGTGATCCATGATGGAGGGTTTGTGAGGACCGCTGCAGTAACTGGGTCAGTTTGATTTATTTACAGCGTCTCCATGGCGACACACTCCACTGCTCCTTCCTTCTCTCTGTTAAAACAGTGAGAGGCTTCATGTGAAAACAGTTTAACACGAGACAACATTTAAATGTGTGTATCCTCACTCAGTGAACTTTCATCCTAATACAGTCAGTTCAAATGGATGTGCAGAAAACCTGAGGTGCGCTTGTTTCCTCCTCCTCTGTGTCACGGGTCAGCTGACTGATGGAGGTCAGCAGCGGGTGGAGCTGACTCTCCAGGCACTGCCATTAAACCACTGCAGAAGAAGAAAACAACCAGATGCTGTTCCACAAAACTCTTTCTGCTGAACATGCTGCCAGTCTGGTGGGGGGGTGTTATGCTGCTGTAGGCCTGGACTGCTGGGGGAACTCCCATGATGCACTGAGCTCTCTGGCTCTGGAGCTGCAGGATCACAACAATAATCAGCTGATCCTGGAGACTCCTGTCTTTGTTCAGACCCTCACCACTGGTTATGAGCTCTGGGTCGTGCCCGAAGGAATCAGCTCCTGTCGAGTGTCTGGGCTCAGCCTCAGAGATCGGGTGAGGAGCTTGGAGTGGCCGGTTGAGGTGGTGTGGGCATCTGATTGGACACCTCCTTGGCGTCTTCCACCTGGGAGAAGATCCCGGTGTAGACTCAGAGCTCGCAGGAGGATTACATCCCATCAGGCCTCAGGAAAACTCTTCCACCACGATCCGCCAGATGAGTGGAAGAAAACAGACGGATGTTGTGGTTTTATCAGACAACTGCTGACTTCTGACATGAAGTCAATGATGTCATATACTGTGTTATATAGTAATTACCTATAATCAATAATTACCTGAATGTGTCTTTTTTTTTTAATAAACTTGAACATTTCATGAAACAAACACAAAGTTCAAAGAAATCACTGACAAACACAAGCTCAATGAATTCTGTTTTATTTCACAGTTAGAGTGAGTTAATGACACGAACTGTAACTATAACAACAATATTCAAAAGCACATGTTTCAATCAGGTTCAACAATAAAACAGTTACAGCGGTTCATACAAACCTCAGCTGTAAATTAGACGTCTGCTGTAACGAGCTGTTGGAGTTCAGCTGCAGTTCCTGCTGCAGGCGTCACGCTCGTTCTTCACGTCTGTTACTGAACCTTTCACCACGAACAGCGGCTTCTCTCTCACACAGACTCTTAAATCTGTTCCTCAAACATCACAAAAACCTGCTTTCTCCCCCACATGGACTCCCTCATGCTCCCTGAGATCCTCCTGTTGCCTAAAGCTAAAGCTAACCTAAAGCTTTCCAGATGCCCCTGATGGTCACAGAGTTTCCTCCTGCGACGCTCCTGCTGCGTAAATCTGTTCCCACAAGAGCTGAAAGTAAATGGTTTCACTCCGGTTGGATCTTAAGTGGATTTTAGATCAGAGCAGCTGAGAGCTCACCAGCATCACATCCTGTGTCACTAACGTGGACTTCATTTCCTGTCAAACCTGACTCAGGTGTTGTGGTCTTCCTCCAGCCGTCCTCACCGTCCTCAGGCTCAGAGGAGTCTGGGGTCCAGCGGTACCTGCTTCAAAATCTAAGTCCAGATCCTCCATCAGCTTCTGCCTCTCTGCTCTCCTCAGTCCGGCTCTGATGAGGCTGAAACAACGCGTTTCTCCTCCTCATCCTCACTCTTCATATCAACAGGAGTCAGTGGGATCTTGTGTTATCAGCCTCCTCCAGCCCTTGAAGCTGCTCTCCCTCCTGATTGGTCCAGAGTTCCTCCTGTTCCTCTTTAATGTGTGGGCTCTCTGGGTCCTCCTGGATCAGACTAAGGTCAACCAGGGGGAACCTCTTCTTCAATCACCAGCTGATGCTGAACATCTGCAGGGACCAATGACACACACACACACACTACAGACAACAGCGACTTCACATTGACCCTGAGTGTCAGGGATGAGTCCTTTGTTATGGAGTCGGAGCCGAAAAAAGAATAAATCTATAAAAGAACAAGAAAATAAAGGTGGAAATAAAAGCAGGTATAAATAAAAGAATAAATTAGTAAATCTGAAAAATGTGGATGTATAAAAACAAATATATAACTGAATAAAAAAAATCTTCACCTTTTAATTTTGCTTTTTCCCTGTTGCTTTTGCTTTTACAGCGAGCAATGGGGTAAAAGCAAAAGGCAATAAAGGAAAAGCAAAGGTAAAAGATAAAAGCATTTCTAAAATTCTTTTATAAATTTCTCTATATTTCAACATTTTAATTTAGTTACGTTTTTAAGTTGCTAAATGCTAATGCTAATATAATGCTAATATATTTGATTTATTACAGATGAGAGTCGCAGCCCGTCCACTTCAACCCAAAACCATGTTTTACAACATAATGTCTGAATATATGATCATTAATAAGGAACCTGTTGGTTTTTATCTGCTGTATTCATATACTGTGTTTATATACTATGTTTATATATTGTACTAATATACTATGTTTATATACTATGTTTATATATTGTATTAATATACTGTGTTTATATATTGTATTAATATACTGTGTTTATATACTATGTTTATATATTGTACTAATATACTGTGTTTATATACTATGTTTATATATTGTATTCATATACTGTGTTTATATACTGTATATACTGTTTTACTTTTCCTGTTCCGGCTCGGAACAGCTCCGGTAGAAAATCTATAAGATGTGATTAATTATTAATGACGTGGACAGAGTAACTGACTGAGCAGGTGTGAACAGACCTGCTCTGTGTGACCGGACTCTGGGGCTGACACTGACCGAGGTTGTTGCTCTCGGACACGGGGAGGCTCCTCCTCGTACTCCCGGAGATCTCCTCCGCCGCCGCGGTGTGTCTCCGGTTCCCCAGCGCTCTGAGACCGAGGACTGTAGACATGTTCCCCGGCAGAGGGAGCGTCCGTCCCCGGGGTCGAACCGAGTCAAACCAACCAACCATTCAAACATTCACCGCTTTAAACTCTATCCACGGACTTTACCGCAACTTTATGAAAACTTCTCGGGCGCCGATGATTACGTCAGTGATGTCGCACAATTACTACGTACCGGGTAGACGTCATCCATAAAGGACGTCGGCTGTATCAGAGACATTTTTTTTTATAAACTTTATTCAAACATAGAACATTACATGAACGATGACATACTCGAACATAATCATTATCATTTTACATTTTAAAGTAAATTCACACCTCCTTTGATATTCCAAACTGAAAAAATATCACATTTCAAAAACAAACATACAACAGATGTAAGATGAAAAAGAGAATGATAAAAAAATAAAATAAATAATAAAACAATTAAAAGTAAATTCATATTAACAAGTAAATCCAGACTAATTAAATACAAGGGGTTTAGGATAGTTTAAATTTTCCTATAAATGTGTACAGTTTATTTGCATGGGGATTATTTATTTGTTTCAGACATTTTTGTAACAAGGAGAGTTCATTCTTAAGAGCAAGCCATGCGGGGGCGCGGGGGGGGGGGTTGTATACCGACACTGTGTTGTAGATTAATTATTTTGTAATAATAATGAGATTATATACTAAAAACTCAGTTTTTTTATCTTTGAGGATTACTCCTATTTGAATATTTTGAAAGGACCAGAAGTCAATGTTTCTGGAGCTGGACGATATTAAGTTGTGGAGAGTTTTCCACAAATTTTGGACAGTCTCACATTCGTAAAACAGGTGCTCTGTCGTTTCCAGATTCGTTTTACAAATATAACAGTTTTCTACAACAAATTTAAATCTTCTTTTTATAAATTCATTTGAGGGATAAATGTTGTTTATAGTTTTAAAATGAACTTCTTTACACTTTGGGGGAATTGGGAATTTTAAGTATTTTGTTCGAATAGTTGATATTTCAGATTTGTTATAATCTTTAAGAGTGAGTGAGCTTTTTGTTAAACCTGGATATAAGGTGTTTACTAAGTACTGCTTTAAAAACTTATTGTTACATTTTTCGTTTACTAGGTCCAGATCATCTATCTGGTTGGTATGTTCAAAATATTATTCTTTATCGATTGGATAAAGACTTTTGGGATATTTTGTGTGACTTTCCTATAGATCTCATTGGAGCAACTCACGCTATATTTAGCATTAAAATCATTCAGTTCAAGTATGTTTCCATTTCCATCCATTATACTGTATGTATAAGAGACCAAATTTGTTTTGTCATCCAGTCTTCCATAAACATAGACCTCCTCCGACTCAATATCACCCTATTGTTCCACAATGGGACATTATGGGGGCTGAAATTATGCTTGAACATCATTTTCCAATTTAACAGAACCTGTTGGTGAAATTTGGAAAGTTTTACGGGCAGTTTGGATATTTCAAAAATAAGAGAAGGTAGATTTTACTTTTAATTGTTTTATTATTTATTTTATTTTTTTATCATTCTCTTTTTCATCTTACATCTGTTGTATGTTTGTTTTTGAAATGTGATATTTTTTCAGTTTGGAATATCAAAGGAGGTGTGAATTTACTTTAAAATGTAAAATGATAATGATTATGTTTGAGTATGTCATCGTTCATGTAATGTTCTATGTTTGAATAAAGTTTATAAAAAAAATTAAAAAAAAACATTTCAGGGAAAAAAAATTAATGTAAAAATGTATTTTTTAAATTATTAATTAATTTAATTTTAATTTATTTTATTTAATTTATTCAGCAGGTGAATGTGATTCATAAGGTTATAAATTAATAATGATGATGATAATGATACATTTTATTTACATGTGACAAAGTTCTAGTGATCAATTTAATTAAAGATGTAAGGGATGATGACTCATATGATTGTGTGTGTCACATGAGCTAAAACTTCACGTGAAACATCCTGGAAAATGATCTGTAGAAAAGAGCGGGAACCCTGTTGAGAGCTCTGTGTGAGCGTCACCTGGTGTCAGGTGGTATCACTGAAACGTGTTTGATGAGAAGAAGAAGAGACAGACTGAGTCAGTTCAAAGTGAAAATGAAGATGATGCAGGTCTGTACGTTTATATTAAACACATCAGTGTGAACAGTTACCTGTCTCCCAGTGTGCTGTCTCAAGGGGGGTCGTGACCTGGAGGTTCTAATGTTGCAACAGCTCACCGTGTCGTCTCCAGAGTGTTTGTCATCCCACCATCGTCACCATGGAAGGAGTTTATTCAGTCACCTGTAACTTTCCATGTATTTGCATCTCAGCACATGGAGTTGCATGTCAGACCAACATTTGAACAAAGACACAACATGTTCAGTAACTACTGGGCAGGGCTGGTTTCCATAACACACACACACACACACACACACACACACACACACCTGCCCTGGAGCAACACCATCATGCCACCGTGAAACAGGAGGGCCAGTTTGACTGCAGAGAGCGATCTGTGAGGGAGCTTCATCCCACATCCTCATCATCCTCATCATCATCCTAATCCTCCTCATCATCATCCTCATCATCCTTATCATCATCCTCATCCTCATCATCATCCTCATCCTCCTCATCATCATCCTCATCATCCTTATCATCATCCTCATCATCCTCATCATCATCCTCATCCTCATCATCATCACTCTGAGCAGATGAAAACAACGGCTCCTTAACATCTCAGACTTGAACAGGTGTGATTAGTTACCGACCTGCTGCAGAGGAAGGTCTGACACATTCACAGTGATGTTAGCTCACATGTAATCAACCGTCTCGTGGTCGTATCCCTCCGCCTCCTTGACGCTGACCTTGACCTTTGACCTTCAGCCACCAAACTCTAACCAGTTCATCCTTGAGTCCAGGTGAATGTTTGTATTAAATGTGTTACTGAGATATCAAATGAGACAGACGACCTGAAAACAAAATATCCGCCTCTGACTGTGTCTGCCTGTTTGTACAGTGGCAGCTCAGGACTCCACATCAGAGTTTAATGAGGGACATTAATCTACTGAAATATTTATCAGAGCACACCCCCCTCCACACACACACACACTGCTGCTGAGTGTGTGTGAAGATCAGCTGACAGATAGAAAATGACGGATCAGTGGTTGAAGTGTTTTTTTACTTCAGGTTTTATTGAGGCCTCGTTTCGCTCATTAAACATGAGTCATCAATTTCTGTGTGAAACAGCCTCCAGTCTGAGATCAGGTGAAAACACCTGGAGCGTGAGGTGAAGGCTGGTGTTGATGAGGAGCCACCTGGGATCAGCTGACTGAGCTGTGCAGGTGTGTTCCACAAAAGGTTTGGAAACTGTTTTAAACCATCGTTTAGTAACAAGATGGAGGCACGAATACCCAGAAGGCAACGCTGTGATGTTTGTTTATTGACACGGGCATCAGCAAGCTTCATATGAATGTTGTCATGCTGCCTTCTTAAAATTCTTGTAAAGGGACACACACACACACACACACACACACACACACACACACAAACACACACACACACACAAACACACACACACTCCTCATGAGGGTGGAGCCTGCAGTGACGTCTCAGACCTGTGCGACAGGTCGGGCCTGTGCTCCGCCCTGCAGCCGCACCTGATTCCTCCGCAGGGCGAGACCAGAGAGGCGGGAACCTGAAGAGAGCAGCACACCTGCCTCTATAAGACTGAACCTCCTCATCCACAAACACACACTCCAAACACAGCAGCAGCCATGTCTAACTTCTTGTCCTCAGCGCTGGGTAGCGGTGGCATTGCAAAAATAGCTGGGGAGAAAGTGGGTGAGTATCCTTTGTGAAATATCTCTGTGAAATATCGACTGTAACAGGTTTAAAGAGACCAGACACCTTTGACTTCACAGCTGCAGATGTTGATTTACTGTAAAGATGTCGGCTGTATTTGGTGTTTTTGTATTTCACATAATAATGACGATGCACATATAGTGATAAATATGGAATATTATATATATTGAGTATTCAAAGGGCTGATGTGAGAGATTCTGACTGACTCTCTGACTCTCTGACTCTCTGACTCTCTGACTCTCTTACTCTCTGACTCTGACTCTCTGACTCTCTGACTCTCTGACTCTTTGACTCTCTGACTCTTTGACTCTCTGACTCTTTGACTCTTTAACTCTTTGACTCTCTGACTCATTAACACTTTAACTCTTTAAGTCTGTGACTCTTTAACTCTGTGACTCTTTGACTCTCTGACTCTTTAACNCTCTGTCTCTGACTCTCTGACTCTTTGACTCTCTGACTCTCTGACTCTCTTACTCTCTGACTCTCTGACTCTTTGACTCTATGACTCTTTGACCCTCTGACTCTCTGACTCTCTGACTCTTTGACTCTTTGACTCTCTGACTCTCTGACTCTTTGACTCTCTGACTCTTTGACTCTTTGACTCTCTGACTCGCTGACTCTTTGACTCGCTGACTCTCTGACTCTCTGACTTTTTGACTCTGACTCTTTGACTCTCTTACTCTCTGACTCTTTGACTCTTTAACTCTCTGACTCTCTGACTCTCTGACTCTTTGACTCTCTGACTCTCTGACTCTGACTCTTTGATTCTTTTACTCTCTGACTCTCTTACTCTCTGACTCTTTGACTCTTTAACTCTCTGACTCTCTGACTCTCTGACTCTGACTCTTTGACTCTTTTACTCTCTGACTCTTTGACTCTGACTCTCTTACTCTCTGACTCTCTGACTCTTTGACTCTCTGACTCTCTGACTCTCTGACTCTTTGACCCTCTGACTCTCTGACTCTCTGACTCTTTGACTCTCTGACTCTCTGACTCTCTTACTCTCTGACTCTCTGACTCTTTGACTCTCTGACTCTCTGACTCTTTGACCCTCTGACTCTCTGACTCTCTGACTCTTTGACTCTGACTCTTTAACTCTCTGACTCCCTGACTCTTTGACTCTTTAACTCTCTGACTCTTTGACTCTCTGACACTCTGACTCTTTAACTCTCTGACTCTCTGACACTTTAACCTTTTGACGATCTGACTCTTTGACTTTTTAACTCTCTGACTCTCTGACTCTGACTCTTTAACTCTCTGACTCTCTGACTCCCTGACTCTTTGACTCTTTAACTCTCTGACTCTCTGACTCTCTGACTCTCTGACTCTTTGACTTTTTAACTCTCTGACTCTCTGACTCTTTGACCCTCTGACTCTCTGACTCCCTGACTCTTTAACTCTCTGACTCTTTGACTCTGACTCTTTAACTCTCTGACTCCCTGACTCTTTGACTCTTTAACTCTCTGACTCTCTGACTCTCTGACTCTTTAACTCTCTGACTCTCTGACTCCTTAACTCTCTGACTCTTGAACTCTCTGACTCCCTGACTCTTTGACTCTTTAACTCTCTGACTCTCTGACTCTTTAACTCTCTGACTCTTGAACTCTCTGACTCTTTGACTCTTTGACACTTTGACTCTCTGACTCTTTGACTCTCTGACTCTGACTGGAGCTGAGGACTCCCCTGCAGTCCTCTCAGTTGTTTTAATGTGAAAACTGGACGTCAGTGACAGACTTAAAGTGGATTGAGTGAAATGAACGTCTGCTGGCGGCGTCCTGTTGGCTGCAGAGGAAACAGCTTGTAAGTCACATGGAGGAATCAGGCCAAACTCCTGGAGGGGGGGGTGTTTTCAGGGCCAGAACGGTTCAGGTCAGATCAGGTGACTGGAGCTTCAGGGAAATTTTTTTGTTGAGTCTGATGATCCACGCCCTGGTGCTGCGGGCAGGTTCAGTCACGAGCTGGTGCCACAGTGTCTCCAGTTTATTACAGTTCAACCCATTCAACTCCATTGGTAACCACTCAAATCTCACCTGTGACTGCTGCCTCTCTGGACCCAGAGACACTTAACACCTGTTTGTTCTGCAGGTGACCTGGTGGAGGAAACGGTAGATAAAGTCCTGAGTGGAGGAGAAAAGAAGGAGGAGCAGAAGGGAGGAGGATTCGGAGTCGGAGACGCTCTGTCTCTTGTTGGAGGAAACAAAGATGACAACAAAGGAGGATTCGGAGTCGGAGACGCTCTGTCTCTTGTTGGAGGAAACAAAGATGACAACAAAGGAGGATTCGGAGTCGGAGACGCTCTGTCTCTTGTTGGAGGAAACAAAGATGACAACAAAGGAGGATTCGGAGTCGGAGACGCTCTGTCTCTTGTTGGAGGAAACAATCAGGAACAGGGAGGCGGTGAGTCTCTACAGTCCCTCAAACCAACTTCAGGCCCTTGGAAACTGCAGGAGCGTAGTTCTTCCCAATTTAATCATTTGTACAGCACATCAATACTGACACAGGGAGGCAGGGTTAGTGAAGGCATGAGTGGGTCACTGTAGAATACAGATTCTAATATTACAGGATACAGTTTGACCATCACTGAGCAACAACGCTAAATGATCAAAACCAGGTTTATGAAGGTGCAAATAAAAACATAAAACGATGATGAAAGACAAGAAAAGATGATGAAAAGAATCAGAGCATCAACAACTTCCCTTAGAGAAGAGGTCACCTTGTTCTGATAACCTGGTGGATCCATACTGGGTCAGTAAGTCACAGACACATGGAGGTCAGAGGTCAGAAAGAACGGAAACTCAGGAAACTCTGAGACCTTCAGATACTGAAAACAACTGCAGAGGAGATTAGAAAGTTCCTCAGGTTTCTCAGATACATGATAAACATTCACAACAGTGAGAGACACAGTGTGATTAATTAAAGAGAGCTTGTAGAGAGTGAAGTAGACTGACCAGAACAGAGCCGTGATGAACTCCACAGGTTCACACAAAGAACATAAACACAGTGAGCTCCACCCACTTCTTCTGAGGAGGAGGAACAGGAAGTCAGGAGAGCCAGCTCTGTGTCAGGAAGTCATCAAATTAATTATTTTAATCAGCAGTTTCCAGCATCTGTTTTCAGACTTTTTCTGATGAACGTTTTTGTAGTTAAACATCAACACGTCAACTGTTCTCTCTGTCGTTTCTCAGGACTGGATGCGAAGAACTTAATTGGAGGATTCTTTAAATAGAAACCCTGCTGATCGTGTTCTGACCTGGTTCTTCAGCATCAGTCCATCAAACCTCCACCTGCAGCATCTTCACCTCCACCCTGAGAGGAGCAGCTCCACCCAAACTGCTGGAAAATGATTGAATATGGAATAAATTTTAAAATAATGTAATTGTTAAGTGAGGGTCCTGATTAAATGTTTAATTAGCTATTTATCACTAAATTCCTGTCTATATTGTTTTTAAACGATGAGAATGAACTGAAAGCTCTTGACAATAGAAATAATTAACCTTGATAAAAGAGTTATGAAGAGATTAAACTGGATTATTATACGGTAAAATGTAGTTTGTAAATGAAATGAAAGAATCACGCTCATAAAAGAAATGTATTAAAACAGCAGTAGCAGTTTGGTGAAGCTGTTCAGTAAAAATCAGTCTGATGAAATGTTTGTATTTCTTCTTCTTTCACTGTTTCCTCAGTCGAGGACACAGTCCATATAACGTATGTACAATTATAAAAGAGATGCTTGACTTACTATTAAAAAAACTGTCTCAAGTTTGAAATATGAATTTTCATTTTGGTAAATAAAATTTAATATAATGACATTGCTACACAGATAAATGTATTAACACACACATGTAGCCTTATTATGGGTAGCTATGCTAACATTATGTTTAGCATCATGTAGCTCCTGTAGTCAGCTGATACAGGATGGATTGATAATCATGAAACCGTCAAGTCAATCATTTGATACTGAAGGAAACTTAAAAACTGGAGGATTCAGAATAAAGTTCTGCAGTTTAAAAGATTTCTAAGTGAATTTCTGGAGCTTTATTCTGGAGAGACATCTAACTAATGTTAGCGGTTTCCCACTTTAGCCTTAAGTTACAGTTTAACTAACTAATGTTAGCTGGTTTCCCACTTTAGCCTTAAATTACAGTTTAACTAACTTACGTTAGCTAGCTGGTAGCTCCCTTTCATCTCCAGTGTTAGCTTGTCATTTCATCACCAATATAAAACGTCATATATGAGCTAATGTTACAAACTCTGGAGCTCAGTCATGAGCAGTGAGACTGTGGAGTATCAGTTGTTGTAGAGAAACATTTTGACATCAATATATAAGTAGAAATATAAGTTTATTATTTCATGTTAACAGTCTCTGTGTGTCTGTGGTGGTTTAGTTAGTCTGTTATTTTGATATTAGCTTCTATAACAGACGCCATCTTTGTTTTTACTCAGGAGTTCAGGAGTTTTACCTGTTGGCTCATTGAACAATATTAAAATCTGATACTGATACGTCTCGATAAATATATTAAAAATACTATGATATATAAAAAACATTTGACAAAAAAATCAAATTGAAACTTTTTCCAGTGTCAACAGTGAATCTTAGAGATGCTTTATTTGTATTTCGTATCATTTTAGGACTAATTGTAAGTAAAAACAGGTAGGACTTAAACCCTGGGGTGGAGCGGGTGGAGTGTCTCAGTGAGTCACACAGGGAAGGAGAGACTCCACTAACACAAAGACGCCATTATTCTCTTTGTCTCAGTGCAACATGACTAATCTGCCCTAAACTGCCCTGAATGTACACTGCAGCAACACACACCTGCAGCCATTAGATAGATAGATAGATAGATAGATAGATAGATAGATAGATAGATAGATAGATAGATAGATAGATAGATAGATAGATAGATAGATTTTGTTGTATAAGTTTCATTGTGGCTCTCGATGGAGGTAAAAGCAGAGCATGGTGGTGGAACAGGTTGGTCCTGTCTGCAGACACACCTGCACTTCAACAGCCAATAGGAAGAGACCTGAGAGACGACGACAGCCTCAGTCTCACCTCCACCTGCCAGAAAAGACACACAACAGACAGAACAACAGACAGAACAACAGACAGAACAACAGACCAGCAGAGATGAATAAAATAGCACAAATGGTCGGAGAGAAAGTGGGTGAGTAGGAAATGGGTGGGGGGGGGGCGTGGGGAGGGGGGGGCGCTGAATCTTTGATAAAGTGCAGACGCTGAGAGGAAGAAGAATCAGAGTCTCCCTCTCTCTCTCTCTCTCTCTCTCTCTCTCTCTCTCTCTCTCTCTCTGTGCTGTTATGTTCATTTCTTACTTTTAGTATTTTATTTGTGGCAGTTGCTCCATGGAGATCCATGAGGAACACTTCCTGTATGTTCACACACACGCGTCAAAAGGATAATAAATATAATTTACTATTTAAACCATTAAAAGTGGATATACAAGGTTTTCAAACAGCCCAGTCTGAAGGTTTGGATGTTGATTGGAGCTCCGGGCAAACTTTTACTACATTTACATTTATATTTACATTTACTCATGTGACTGAGTTCAGGGCAGGAAGTCTCTGTGAAGCAGCATTAGAGACTGACCCTGGTTCAGGGGGTCATAGGTCGACCGTGGAGACCAATGAGCAGCAGAGTGACATGAGGTCAGACGGACTGCTGCAGTCTGGACCGTCTGTAAGGGTTTCACTGTGAGTGAAGGGAGGTGAGACAGAACCGTGGTCTGGATCGGGACCGGGCCGGAGGACTGAGTCAGTCAGAGAAGGAGAGCTGGTCATCGAGCATGACACCAGGTTTCTTTGACCTTGGCTGAGGTGAAAGATGAAGAGGTGATGTTGATGTTGAGACACTGATTGGCTGGATGAGTAGACTTCAGTCTGAGAGAGGTGTAGGTGAAGGATGAGGTCGTCTGGAGGAACCACAGGTAGAGTCAGGTGTCATCTGCATAGTGGTGATATGAGAAGACATGGAAGCAGATAACTGGACCCAGGGAGGTGGTGTTTATTGTAAAGTGAATAAATATTTTCTCATCTTTGCCCTGTGAAATAAACCCCACCCCTCTGGTGCCGACAGCAAGTTAAATGAAACAAACATGGTTTCCATATGAAACAGTGAACTGACAGTGATGCTGCATGTTTGTTCAGGAGACATGGTGGAGGACGCCGTGAAGAACGCTCTGGGCATCAAAGACAAAGAGGAGGAAAAAGAAGGAGGAGGAATCCTCTCCCTTTTTGGAGGTGACAAGGACAAAGAGAAGGAGAAGGAGAAGGACAAGGGAGGACTGTTCTCCTTCGGAGACGACAAGAAGAAAGACGAAGGGAAAGGAGGATTCTTCTCAAATCTCTTTGACAAGGACGATGAGGACGACAGGAAGCAGAAGAAATCGGGATTCGCAGGTCTCTTCAGTGAGCAGGAGGGAGGAGGTGCTGCCGGAGGAACGGAGGGAGAAACAGCGGGAGGAAATATGGCAGGAAGTGTAGCTGTAAATGATGGAGGTATGTAAAGGATGGAGGGGAGAGTTGGGTACAAAGACCATCATGTGTTCATCTCTCACGGAGGAAGCTCCACTTCCTCCGGGTTCTTGACCATGTTCCACCTCAGCTGCAAAGCTTCTTCGTTAACACCTGGACACCACGTGAGTCATTACTGTCACCGTGGTGACAGTGGCGGTGCGGACGGGTGGTCAGTTGTCAGTTTAGTGATGGTCCATCCTGTTTGATGTGACGCTCATGAACACCCGTGTGCTCCATGAGTCAGGTGACAGTGACGACTACGACTCTCCAGCTGAGGTGGAACATCAACAACAGACACCTCTGCAGCTGCAGCTCGTTTCTTACAGAGTCAGACTTCTGTCACGTGATGTCACAGACTCACATTCATGTTGTGAAACAGGAAATTACCTCGAGTTGTGATCAACTGAAGAAAGAAATCTGTGGTTGAACTCTTCCAGTAACTGTTCTTTTCTGTTGCCCTCCTCAGATTTGCTCAGTGATCTGATGGACGTCGCTGCAGAGACGTCTAAAGGGAACTGAGACGCCAGAGACCAGGACCAGCATCAGTCCAGCTGCCGGTCTGGGACCTGAGCGCCGCCGTCACACAGCGTTCAAAAGAAATCACAGCTCACCCTGGAAGCTCCGCCGTCCTGTGAAATCTCAGAGAAGAAACTGGACACACACAGGAGTTAATATTATTTCATATTCACCTTGATCTTCACTTGTATTTACAGGAACTTCATATTTCCCAGGATGTTGAAGAGTTTCTGAACGTGTATCTGTTGTGTTTCTATGTGATTGGAGCTGGAACACAGTAACAGCTGTAAAATACTCTGTATTTATTCATTTGTGTACGAAACATTTAAAAAAAGAAAAAAGACAAAAGACAAAAAACTACAGGCCCCAAAGTACACCAGCATCTTACTATATAGATATATACTTTATTATTCTTATATAACTTATAACGCTGTATTACATTAGTGCTGTTCGGTTTCACATCATTATTATATATCATAAAACATTTATGTCAGATTGACTTCATTCACTAAATTCAGAGGCAACATGTAAATGATGTATTAAAATGTGTTTTTAGTGAATCTCATGAAGAACATGGATGTGTTTTTAATTGGTGATTAAATAAATGAGTTTGATTTCATATTGATAAAATACTATATTTATAATGTGAAATGATGAAGTCACTGGTGTAAATACCAATAGTGAAACCAGTGCAGCGCACCAGGGCTACTGTACATATGTATACATGTATACATATGGACAGTATATACTGTGTATATATGTACATATTCATGTGTATACATTAGAGATGGATCATGATCATGAGATTTATCTATGACTTTGTTGTGAGTAAAGTGCAAATATTATTCTCAAAACTTAAATAAAGAAATAAAGAAATGAGTAAAATAAAATTAATTCTCAAAGTAAATTAAAGAATTTAACCTGTAATTAAAATAGAAACAAAGAGTGTAACTTCAGCATTAATTAAAGACAGTTTCTGCTGAACCGGTGATGACGAGGCAACTGAAGCATCAGCTCTCTGGCTGTGGATGGGTCGGAGGAGCACAGGTGAAGACGAGCAGGTGTCCACCCCCACAGGTCTGAGAACAGTGTGAGTGTGGAGGGTCTGAGCAGGTGGAGCAGGTCGGTCCTGTCTGAGACACCTGACTGTCAAACAGCTGAGGGACAGAATCAGCAGCAGAGACTCAGACAGATCCACAGAGATGGACGTGTTCAGAGACGTGTTCAAGGACGACGTGGGTGAGTAACACACCGTCTGTTTTTATTCTCAGGTTTAAACTCTGTTTCTCTGTGGTTCCTCCAAACTGTGAAACACTGAATGAAGTGAATAAACGAAGCACTCTGAAGTTACTGTGGAAAGGAGCTTTAGTCTAGAGTCTATAAATACAGACCTTAAACTAAAACAGTACAAGTGGTTTGTGAAATAGACAGATGCACAACATGTACAGAAACTGAGAAATCACTGTTTCACTGTTCGGAAACGTAAAAAGATTCAAATGTTCTGGGACGAGGAGAAAGTCCAAATACAAAAGATCATTTCAAAAACAAGTTGACTGGATCCTAAACTCCTCATATCCACAGAAACAGATCTACAGTAAAAGTGAATCTCAGTTTGTTTAAGGCAAAGAATGTATTGTATGGAGGATCAGTGATGTCAGGAGAAGTAATAAAACATTTCCTTCTTTTCAAGAGAAATTCAAAACAGGAATTGTAAAAAGAATTTGAAGTCATTTGAAAAGTTGGAGTTTTCAAATGTTATTCATGAATTAATAAATGTATTTGTAAACGGTTTATTTAATGAGTTTTATATATGTACATATAACTTATAAATTCTTTTTATACATACACAACACGCCTCAGTGGGTCAGACTGATGTTATCACTTCCTACATATTAAAGGTTAAACTGAATATATTTGAGAACATATGGTTAAAATGAAGCTTTAGCAGATCAAGTTTCTGAGCAGTGATTCTTCTTCTGAACACTTACACACTCTTATTTGGTCTCATTATAATTGATAAACTCCATTCTATATAGATTGTCAATTGTTAAGACAAGAGGAGAGTTTGTTTTTCTTCTTTATTGATTATTATTGAGTGAACGCAGCTGTTACATAAAGAAGTCCACAGAATATGATGTGAATGCTGATTTAAATTTAACTGATCTAAATTAAAATATTGTGTCTGAATCAGCTGCCTCCTCCTTTTATACATGGACTGTGTTTCAGCTGTTACCTGGACAGATGTGTGAACACTGACCACATCTGTCACGTTTCCTTTAGTTTAATCCTGAGGGTTCGCAGGTATAATTTCACTGCCAATGTCACAGTCTTGTTGAACCAGCCCGAGCTGTTTATCGGCCAGAAACTTGATGTGCAACATTTTCAGAGACGGAGAAAACTTCCTTTCAGATGATCAGGACGGTTCAGAGGCTTCAGAGTCATTTTAGTGCCAAATATTTCAGTTTGAATTAATTTTATTTAACTTGACTCTTCATCAGTCTGTCAATAAGAATCTTCTCATGTCCTGCTCATCAGTCCCACCTTCTTCTTCTTTCCTTATTTAGACTATTATATTTACATGGACCATTAATAACCTAATTATTCATAATTAACATTCTCCGGGTGCTTTTGCTTTTTATTTTTATCTGATATTAAACAGCTGAGTGCACACATCCCACTCCTAGCAGCTAACAGCTAACAGCTAGCAGCTAGCTAACACACAGAAAAGTCGCATTTCAAAGTGAATTATTGATGAAAATAATAAATGACTGATGAGAATATTTCTCAGCCTGTATCTGAGTGATAAAATAAACCCCACCCCTCTCGGGCTGACAGCAGTTTAAATGAAACAAACACGGTTTTCGTTTGAAACAGTGAAGTGACTGAGTGACGCTGTTTGTCTGCTCAGGAGACAAGCTGGAGGACGCCATGAAAAACGCTCTGAGCATCAGTGACGAGGACAAGGACAAAGAAGGAGGAGGAATCTTCTCCTTTTTTGGAGGCGACAAGGACAAAGAGAAGAACGAGGGAAAGAAAGAAGGAATAGAAGGATTGATCTCAGATGTCTTTGGCGACAAGGACGAGGACGAGGACGAGGACGAGGGGGGACTGTTCTCATTCGGAGACGACAAGAAAAAAGAGGAAGGAAATAAAGAAGGAAAGGCAGCGTTCATCTCAGATGTGTTTGGGGACGAGGAGAAGAAATCAGGATTTATGGGTCTCTTCACTGAGCGGGAGGGAGGAGGTGCTGCTGGAGCAGGAGGAGGAAACACAGGAGGAGGTGAAGCTGTGAATGATGGAGGTATGAACATCAGGCTGCACAAACTGCCCTGAACAGAGAAACTGGTCAAAAGCAAAAACATCAGAAGTTAGTTTAGAAGATGTTTTTCTCTTCTTCCTTCAGTTAGAATGAATTCTTCCTCTAACTGTCGTTTGTTCTTCAGAGCTGCTGAAGGATCTGATCGATGTGGCCGAAGAAACGTCTAAGCGAAGTAACAGACACTAGAAAACCACATCCTGACCCCTGACAACAACCTGGATCCAGATCCTGGTCTGGGACCAGACCTCAGCTGGCTAAATGTGGAGGGAAACACTTGTATTGTGTTTTAACTGAATATTAATTAAGCAACAAATCAAAAGTGGGAGGTAAAATGATTGAATTAGATCAACAAGTAGTTTTGATGAATTTCTAACTGTGATAAATGATTTATAATAAAGAGTTTTTGTCAAAAACGCTTTTGATAGTGTGATGTCGTTGATGATATTGTGTTGCTGGGAAACTGCGTTGACATTGTGACGTCATTTTTCTCTCAGTTTAAACTCTGAGAAGAATTTAGCAGCAAAAGCTAAAAAATGTTTGGAAAACCAAAACAAAAGAGAAGAAGACGAGTGCGCTGCTTAAATCGTCTCATAACAAATGCTAACGTTAGCATTGTTGACGTGCAGCCAGAAGCTAATGCTAGCAATGTTAGTCACAGCAACAATGGGACATTCAGTACTTCATACTGTTTTCTAGTGAACTAAACCCTGAACATAGCTGTTGTCACTTCCACATGAAATGATTAACATTTTTAATCAATAAAGAATCTGTTTCTTTGCAGACGACTGCCTGTTGTATTTATGTGACACGTTCATGTTGTCACAATGGTTTTATGATACTGTGAAATCACAGATTCATCCGTTCAGATTCATTTACACAAGAAAAACTTCTTGAGCTGTCACATGACTGTCACTATGAATCAGGCATAATCTATAATCTATAATCGATTTTACAACAGTGTCTCTGACTTCAGTTCAAAGCAGCTTCTCATTTCAGGTCAACGACCTTCAATTTTACTGAAATGACGACTGTCATCTAGCTAACTGATCAAGCTAACACTGATCAGGCTAACACTGATCAAGCTAACACTGATCAGGCTAACAGTGATCAGGCTAACAGTGATCAGACTAACAGTGATCGAGCTAACAGTGATCGAGCTAACACTGATCAGGCTAACACTGATCAGGCTAACATTGATCGAGCTAACACTGTTCGAGCTAACACCGATCGAGCTAACAGTGATCGAGCTAACAGTGATCAAGCTAACACCAATCGAGCTAACAGTGATCAAGCTAACACCGATCGAGCTAACAGTGATCAAGTTAACAGTGATCAAGCTAACAGTGATCAAGCTAACACTGATCGAGCTAACAGTGATCAAGCTAACAGGAGCTGGTTGAAAACACTGCGCACTACTCACCTTAATCTAACAAGCTAACGTACTGTCTGTAGCTCATGTGACTCTCTTTGGCCTCTGTAGTTGCTACTGTAACAGTGAAGCTAGTCAGCCAAACATACTATCATTAGCTCTCATCATGACGCTGCTGCTCGGGTGTTCCTGGTCTTGGAGATGCTGAAGAAAGAACTCAGTCCATCAGCTGGAGAACTGAAAGTTCAGCAGAGTGAAGTCCTGATACAGGGGAACGCTGTTCTCGTCGCACAGGAAGTGGCTCCGGATGGTGATGATGAAGGTTTTCCTCGGGAGGGAGAGGAAGTTCTGGATCCTCTCTGCTGCCACCTGGATGTGCTTCACCTGCGAGCCTGGGGCTGAGAGACAGACAGTCAGCAACGCTCCTCCATCTTTATTGATCAACTGAGATTACTGATAAATCAATAAGGTGATGATGGTGAATATAAGGAAACACTCTGTTGTATTTATACACAGCTAATGTGGAACTTAATCAGATCAAATACTGAATTTTTATCCACAATTACCCACAAAGCAACAGTGAGAGTAAACAGGAACTCTGCTGTTAGTTCAGCTACATCACCTCATCACACACCTTCAGCCTGAATACCTGAAACACCTGTACAGGTGAGCAGAGGGTTTCACTGGACATATTCAATATTAATATTATCACATTTATCCAAGACGAGGAGCTGCACGTCTGTACAGTATTTATATGAACACACTTCTATTATAGTAATTTATTATTTATTCTATCTACAGTTTATCTGTGACTAATCAGAACTATATATATTTGTTTTTTCATTTTAATTTGTATAGGTTTTTGGAGGCTCGGTTCACGGTGTACGAACAGAATCTTTCATGGGGCAGAATCAGATTCTGTCTCTAATTATTATCTGACGACTCAAAAACCAGATGTAATAAACAACATGTAAAGTGTCATATGAACAGATGGAGGGAAGATTCATCACAATAACATGAACATCATTCAAATATAATTCATTCTCAAACAGTTTCATCTGTTTGCCCTGACGCCTCACAGCGAGAAGGTTCTGGGTTCGAACCCAGACGTGTGACAGACCCCGCCCTCGCCCTGTGTCAGCTGGGATTGGCTCCAGCTGTGATAAAAGACATGTTGTTGGTGCTCCAGCAGGTGGCAGCAGTGAGTCTGTGCTGTTTGAGGCTCAGGTGTGGGGTTTTTTTTCACATCAGTTTCACCTGCTCAGATTCTTCAGCTGCTCAATTCCTGTTTCATGAATCTCAAATGAAGAAACTCAAGACAGAATTTGCACATCTGTAAATCAGTATGAGAACTCATATAACGAAAGTTGAACATCTGTATTTATAATATTTAACATATTTTTGTGGCACAAACTCAGTAACTGGAAACTTCAGCTTCAAGTCTGACAGATGAAAAGTTCTGCTCTGACTTTTCCACGTCTGTGAATGTGGAAAAGGGGCGGGCACTGTTCACAGATTGGAGAACTTTAGGCCAATTAGAGGAGCTCGTTTGGGCGCCCGAGCGAGAGGAAACAAAACCTCGTACGTGTTTGGATCCTGTCGCCTGATTCTCACCTGAGATCCTGTGCAGTTTATCAGGTGGAGCATCGAGGATCTTCAGCAGAGGAAGAGGAGGAACCTGGACACACACCTGACTGCTGCCCCGCCCACCCACAGTCAGCACACCTGGCCTGAATCACACACACACACACACACACACACACACGTTTATCTAATCCAAATGTGAGAAAAGAGGCAGGTGTAGCCCCGCCCCCCAGCAGAGATCAAACCACATGATTGGATGATCCTGTCACTCCCACACTGATTGACAGCTCCTTTAACACTGACTCTGATACTAATGTGTCTGAACACACAAAATGAATGAAAAATGATCAATTTATCAATTTATTATTTTATGAGAAGTGAACTCAGCACGAAGTCCTTCACCTTCAAATCAATAATAAATAATATTAAATAAATGAATAAGTATATAAATAATCATCTGAATCATGAATGAATGAGAAACTGTAAATATAAGAACTTTAATATCTTTACGACTGTAGAGCAGTCTAATTAATAAACTCTGTTTTCATAGTTACTGTTGGACTGTATTGATCCAGTGATTAGTTGATCAACATAAAACCATTCTGGTTATTGAGTAATCCGAACGTGATCTGGTCGAACTCCACACATGACAGGATTGACTTCTGGCTGCTACTGAATAAAACAAGGTCCTTGAACACATCACCAAGAAATACTCAGCAGAAACCTCCATCAACATTAAACTGTGACATTTCTGACATGTCTGATGTATCAATATCAAAGTGATAATCACCATGGTGACGGCGGTCGTACCTGTAGTAGCGGCGTATGGCGGTGTGGGGCAGGCAGGGGTAACAGGGGCCATAGATGCCATTGGCGTCGGTCTCAAGCTCAGCGCAGCAGCGCCCACAGCCGGTGTAGGTGACGTCACCGCTCAGCGCCTCCAGGACACCGTCCAGCGGCGTGGAGCTGTCCAGGACCGGCTGAGGTGCATTCTGGGAGGACGGAGCATCCTGGAAGTGGAAGGAGGTGACCTGGACTCTCAGCTCCACATCACCTGGTGGAGGAGAGGAGGAGAAATCACACCTGTACATCCCTCCCTTTTAGGTCTGACGCTTTAAATCAGATGATTTTAGCTGGTAAATAATCAATAATCAATAAACAAACATGAAGCAGTTGTTCAGGTTCAGACTGAAATCCTTCAACTCTCAAGAAAGTTTGAACACAGAAAATTACAAACGTTTTTAAATATTGTCACATGTTCCAAAAGTGTCTGAGCAGGAAGAACCACAACTGCATCGTTATTATGGAAGGTCGTGAGCATCGACAGGTGAACCATCAGAGACCAGATTAAAGACCAGGTGAACCATCAGAGACCAGGTGAACCATCAGAGACCAGGTGAACCATCAGAGACCAGGTGAACAGTCAGAGACCAGGTGAACCATCAGAGACCAGGTGAACCACCAGAGACCAGGTGAACCATCAGAGACCAGGTGAACCATCAGAGACCAGGTAAACTGTCAGAGACCAGGTGAACCATCAGAGACCAGGTGAACCATCAGAGACCAGGTAAACTGTCAGAGACCAGGTGAACCATCAGAGACCAGGTGAACCATCAGAGACCAGGTGAACCGTCAGAGACCAGGTAAACTGTCAGAGACCAGGTGAACCATCAGAGACCAGGTGAACCATCAGAGACCAGGTAAACTGTCAGAGACCAGATTAAAGACCAGGTGAACCATCAGAGACCAGGTGAACCATCAGAGACCAGGTGAACAATCAGAGACCAGGTAAACTGTCAGAGACCAGGTGAACCACCAGAGACCAGGTGAACCATCAGAGACCAGGTAAACTGTCAGAGACCAGGTGAACCATCAGAGACCAGGTGAACCATCAGAGACCAGATTAAAGACCAGGTGAACCATCAGAGACCAGGTGAACAATCAGAGACCAGGTAAACTGTCAGAGACCAGGTGAACCACCAGAGACCAGGTGAACCATCAGAGACCAGATTAAAGACCAGGTGAACCATCAGAGACCAGGTGAACAATCAGAGACCAGGTAAACCGTCAAAGACCAGGTGAACCACCAGAGACCAGGTGAACCATCAGAGACAAGGTGAACCGTCAGAGACCAGGTAAACTGTCAGAGACCAGGTGAACCACCAGAGACCAGGTGAACCATCAGAGACCAGGTGAACCATTAGAGACCAGGTGAACCATCAGAGACCAGGTAAACTGTCAGAGACCAGGTGAACCGTCAAAGACCAGGTGAACCACCAGAGACCAGGTGAACCGTCAGAGACCAGGGGAACCACCAGAGACCAGGTGAACCATCAGAGACCAGGGGAACCGTCAAAGACCAGGTGAACCACCAGAGACCAGGTGAACCATCAGAGACCAGGTGAACCATCAGAGACCAGGTAAATTGTCAGAGACCAGGTGAACCGTCAGAGACCAGGTGAACCATCAGAGACCAGGTAAATTGTCAGAGACCAGGTGAACCGTCAAAGACCAGGTGAACCGTCAAAGACCAGGGGAACCACCAGAGACCAGGTGAACCATCAGAGACCAGGGGAACCGTCAAAGACCAGGTGAACCACCAGAGACCAGGTGAACCATCAGAGACCAGGTGAACCATCAGAGACCAGGTAAATTGTCAGAGACCAGGTGAACCGTCAGAGACCAGGTGAACCAGCAGAGACCAGGTGAACCATCAGAGACCAGGTGAACCGTCAGAGACCAGGTGAACCGTCAGAGACCAGGTGAACCACCAGAGACCAGGTGAACAGTCAGAGACTCACCACTGTGTCTCTGGGACAGCAGCGTGTCCAGGTCCAGCTCCACGCTGCTGCTGCTGCTGCTTCCTGTCTGGTGGCGTCGTGTTGGGAGGAAGTCCTGCGCCCGGCGGTCTGTGGGGTCCAGGGGCCGGACGGAGCTCCAGGGGGTGGAGTGCAGCTCAGGGAGTTCAGAGGTCAAACCCTCCCTCACCAGGAGGACGTGGAAATCCCAGACCACCGCTGAGGGAGACAGAGGAGCTGCAGGTTAGTGTGTGTGTGTGTGTGTGTGTGTGTGTGTGTGTGTGTGTACCTCTGTCTCTGTTGAAGCGAGGCAGCCAGTCCACAGCACCCCCCCACAGCAGCAGCGCCCCCTGCTGACCGTCCGGCTGCTCCACAGTCACAACAGCCTTCAGCTGAACCGCCGACTTGCAGCGAGACTCCGCCTCACTGCGCCACGCTGACACACACACACACACACACACACACACACACACACACACACACACACACACACACACACACACACACACACACACACACACATACACACACATACACACACACACACACCATCATGTCAGACTGTGAGGTGAAGGCACAGCTCAGGTGAGTGTGTGTCACAGACTCACCTGAGCTAAGGTGTGTGTGTGTGACACGCAGCAGGGCGTGAACCAGCATGTTGACCCGCAGTGACCTCAGGGCGGCGTAGGGGAGGCGTCTCAGGTCCTGGGGGGGGCGGCGGGGCAGAGACAGAAGCAGGGGACGCCGCTCCCGCAGAAATCCAAACAGAGAGCTGAGAGAGCTAGCACTGACATGCTGAGGAACTAAAGAGAGAGAGAGTCAGAGGCTGGGAGGAGCTTCAGCTGTGGAGGCTGTTGATTGGCTGCAGGGGGCGGGGCTCAGGTGTACCTGGTGCTGAGGCAGTCACCTGTCCGAGGCTGAGCAGTTTACTGCTGAAGGTCGACTGCAGCACCGTCTCTCCACTCCACCTGTTCTCGTTCACCTGCAGTCCTGATCACAGACAACACCTCAGACCTGCGTGTGCTTACGTCACCTCCATGACATCACTACCTGGTATGTTAATGACGGTTTCTAAATGTCGTTGCTGTGTGTTTGTACCTGTGATGAGCAGAACGTCTCCAGGACTCACGGTCAGCACCCAGAACGCCGCCCGCCGCCACAGCACCACCTTCATCTCCACGTCTGATTGGTCAGTCACCACGATGGACGCCAGAGGAACAGACGTCCCCGCCGACGGGCCGGACTTCACCTGTAACCCAAACGAGTCAAACACATGACGTGAAGCCCCCCGCCCCCCCGCTTCTGTCCTCCCCATCTCCACAGACGAGGGGTGATTGTCCTAACAAGCTGTGGACTAAAGGCTTCTTAATTCTCATTGATTCTTTTAATCTTTCGCGTCTGTGACGGCTCACACACTTGATCTTGTTTTATCATGTGGTTCATCTGTTTCTAACCTGTAAATTTGAGATGCGGTGTTTTCGGATCATATGTCTGTCTGTCCTATTTGAGATGTGTCTTCCCAGTCATACGGACGAACCTGCTCGGCGCTGTCGTACCTTTAACCCTTCCACTGCTGTTCGGCTCTCGGCTGCTTCCGATAATAACTCCTCCGTGTGTTCTGATGCTGAGGCGTTAACCTCTAGGTTTCACTCCACCCGCCAAAACATCTTGGACACTGCGGCTCTATTAAAAACCAGGCGCTCCAAACCTAAAGCTGAGCCTTGGTGAAAGGGACTTTTTCCTTACTTATACTTACTCATTTATTTTATTGTTTACCACTTTGGTAAACTGTGTTGTTTTTAAAAAGTGCTTTATAAATAAAATTGGATTTACCTCCAACAGGTGTGATACAGGAAGTCATGAAATAATCAGCTGATTGATTTTTAATTAGATTCAGGTCATAGAAGAGGACTGAGACTGTCACATCTCACCTGGACCTCCTTCAGGTGACAGGGATGAACCACCGCCACCAGAACCGAGTACCTCACCCCGGGTGTGTGACACCGGACCAGGGGTGTGGTGGGACCCTGGAGTCCTCCTGTGGAGCTGTTTGATGGGACCTCGGTCCTGGACTCCTCAGAGACCCGAGCTCTCTTGAAATCGGGGGACTTGGCGGGGGAGTCGAGGACGGTCGTGGACTCGGCCTCCTGGGAGCAGAGCACCCCCTCTGTGGTGGGCTGGAGGACCACGCCCCCCTCCTCCACCCTTGGGGTAGAGCAGGGTTGGCTGAAGAGCTCGGCGGAGGCTCCGGGTGACGGGGTCACGGGGCTGAAGAGCTCCGGGGTGCTGGAGGAGGTGGAGGGTGGGGTTTGAGGAGGCGGGGTTTTCTCAGGACTGGTTGCTGATTGGCTGCTGTGCCTGCCTCTCAGGAATAAGGCCTGACTCAGAGTCCAGGTGGTGAGGTACTGAGTCCTGGGGCACAGAGGAGGGACAGCTGGAGACCGAGGTTCAGGTTCAGGTTGAGCTGCTGAGAAGCAGCTGTCCAGGTACTGATGAACTGAGGCCGAACACTGATCCTCCTCAGGACCGGGTTCCTCAGGACTCTGTGCAGGTTTGTGATCATTGCAGTAGGTATCTGCTTGTGACGCTTCTGTGGTCCAATCAGCTTCAGAGGGGGCGGCGCCCTGATCAGTGTTTGTTTGATCATGTAAATCCAGCGTAGATCGATCAGGTGTAGCGCCCCCCCTGCTGGCTCCTCCCTCCTCTCTTGACCTTCCTGATTGGTTTCCTGCCTCATCTGAAAAATCAGCAGCTTAAACATTTGACATCTTATTGATCAGAGTTTGATGCTCAGATTAAATATAATTAAAGCTGAAAGCAGCGTTGAGCGGACCGTGCATTGTAGTGACCGGTGGACACCGCGCTCACAGGCCAAGACTTCCTGCTCTAACATGTAATCCATGTTTCTTTGCATGGTTGATGATGATTGTCACTCAAGAGTTGCTTCCTGTTTTCAGAAGGTGGCGCTGTGACTATGACTTCACATTAGTATATATACATTAATATATATAGTATATTGTTTTCAGTGAGACAATCATCAAAAAAGTGAAATTTATATAATGCTGCTCTGATCACTTCTCCAGGAGGTGATTAATTTCACTTAAAAATAATAATCAAAGGTTATATAAATATACTGTATATAAATAACATCTACCAGCAGGAAGTTCTCAGACCTTCTTGTCGGCTCCCTGAACGCCTCACCTGTTGCAGGCCTCAGGTGTCCGTCCGTCCAGGTGAGCTCCAGGTGTCCCCACCCAGCAGGGGGCCGGTCCACACTCTCGGCCCCAACTTCAGACACTGAGGCCGGGCCAGAGGGGGGAGGGGGAGCCCCCAGGAAGACGTGGATCTTCGGCCGCTCGCACATGCTGAGACAAATCACAGCAGGATGATAGGATTTTATTTTAATATGAGCCTCCATCTGGTTAGCTTAGCTTAGCATAAAGACTGGAAACAGGGGGAGACAGCTAGCCTGGCTGTGTCCAAACACACTGTAGAGAATTATGGAGAATATTTTTCACGATTATCTGACACTTTACAGACGAAACCACTGACACTGAAAAGAAAATGGGCTGAAAGGAGCCGCAGTAGTGATCGTCTTCTGGTCAACACATGAACATTTTCCTGACCTGAACACAAATGGCCATCTTCTTTCCTTCCCTTCATCCTCTCCTGACGATCCAACATCGTTTACTTCAAATGTTATTTCTGGAAATATTTTGAGATCCTTCGAGAAATACTTTGTAATCAAACAAACACAGTCAGTTCAGTAGACGAAGGTATGATCTTATTGCACCAGAGTCAAAACCAAAAATTACGACAGTGAATCTTTTGATCTTATTAGGAAAGTTTCATTTACGTCGATCTATAGTTGGTAAATCTCCCCTGTGAACCACTGTCATCACTGAATCACAAAACTGAAACTGTGAAATTAATTGACAATAATCAATCTGTGAATACTGCGAGCTTGATACATACATTTATAAACCCTTAATTTAAAATTCCTCTTTCTCCTTAATACAATTTATTTATTTATTTGTTATTTATTTTTCCTGTTTTGCTTCTACATATACTTTATGTATTCTCTTATATTTGCGGAGATAAAAAAAAAAAAACATATTACAGATACAGGAAGGACGATACAATGCTGTACGACGGACGATAAAACAAGAGACTTGTTTGTGATGTGTGTGACCTCTGAAGGGGTAACCCTGAGCTGGGCCTGTTGGTCAGGTGGGTGCAGAGACTCTTATTCTGAAAGGCTGTGATCTGTTGATCTACTCTGACTAAACCTCATTTGTCATTTTAAATAAAAAAACATCCGCCAGCCTTGTAACAGTCTGTCACATTGTAAATTTATTTTCTAACGTCAGCTGATCCTTCACAGTTAAATAAAGGTTCATATGACGTTTCACCTTCATTAACTCACGGTGTGGTACAACTCAAAGCCAGGAGGAGGATCCCATACCTGACTGGACCTGGAGCTGGATCAGTCCATAGTGACACACTGTAGTGTTACATAATAAGAGCTGAGTTTATGGATCATTTCCGTCATTGTTGGATGTTTTGTGTCCTCGGTCAGAGTCAAAGAAAACGTCTCCCTGGAGTCAAACTGAACAACATGTCGGACGTTACACAACCATGAGACGGCAGAACAACACCGATCCTATAGACCGTGGAGTGTTTCACAGCTGGGAACGATCACCGGGCTGTAAATGCTCCTTCAGCAGAGCCGCTGACTTGCCACAGCTCCACCAATCAGAGGGCAGGATGCTGGGGGAGGAGGCGGCCTGTCGACTCTAACAATGAGGCTCAGCTCGGGGAGGAGAGAGGGTCAGACTTGTTTACACCTGGTACCTTCATATCAGCCTCATCTAGAATAAACAGCATGGAATCAACAACAGCTCTGTCATCATCATCATGAGTGGTTGAAGGTGGTCACACCTGCAGGACACTGCACCTGTCCAACCTGCTGCTGACAGACACAGACCTCTACAGTCACTCTGTCTTCATCAAACCTTCACGGTGCTGCTGTGTCCAGATTCACTTCACTGGAACTAAGAGGAACTAGAAAAACCTCCTTGTGGTTGTATCCCTCCGCCACTCAAACTAGTTCCAGGTTATATCCCAGTTTATCCAGACTCATATTAAATATTGAAATGAAAGTGAAATTATGTCATAATTGCTGTAAAGTCTTGAGTAACGGCTAAAAAGTGTTTTGTGAGGTCACTGTCATCTTTGACCTTTGACCTTTAGCCACCAAACTCTAATCAGTTCATCCTTGAGTCCAGGCGAATGTTTGTGTGAAATGTGAAGAAGTTCCGTCGAGGTGTTTCTGAGATATCGTGTCCACGAGAATGAAACGCACGGACAACCTGAAAACAAAATGGCTGCCTCCGACTGTCGCCATGTGCAGGAATAAAAAGCCAAAAATTCAGTTTTGGATGTTTGGACGATAAAACAAGAAAACACCTTGAACTGTACTGTTTATAAACCAGATGAAAATGAATCAGCAGCTGAATCTACAGTAAACAGTCACCTTTGGCTAAAGGTCAAAGGTCAGTGTGACCAAAACAAAACTCTTTTGAGCCGTAACTCAAGACTTCACAGCAATTATGACAAACAAACACATGGTTCATATCTTATCTGACTCTGGGTAAACAGGGGGTAACCTGGAACTAGTCTGAGTGGCGGAGGGATACGACCACGAGGAGGTGATTCTAGTTTAGGGTGATGATGGTGAGGAGGCCCACAGCTTCAGTCCTCTCCTCCTCAGTCTCTGTATCTCAGCTGTCATGTGACTCCACTCAGGTCCAGTTTCAGTCCCTGACTTCTCTCCTCCTCCTCCACCTGCTGCCCTCAGTCAGCTGGATGAACGGAGACGTGACGAAAACTGCTCCATCAGCTGGACGTCATGTTCCCGCCTCCAAACTCCTGCACGATCACGATCCAGTTTATCATCTCACATTAAGTCCATGTCTCTGAGTCCACAGTACAACTGGATGGTCCTTCAGTTTGAACTGCTGATATCTGCTGATGTCTGAACTGTTAACTCAACTTTAATAAACAGAACCAGACTCTCTGCTAGCGCCCCCTAGAGGCCGCAGTGCACAGATGTCACACTAACTAGACTGTTGCATATTGTGAGACTATAAGAAACACAACTGGAGGAAAATGTGAAAAACTGAGGTTATACAAGATGAATTGAAATAAAGGTGTAAATAAATCCATCATGAGAAATGTGGGATGATGGAAAATATGAATTACATTTTCCAACCAGTTTTGTTTGTTTTTTGTTTTATGATGTAATTTTTTTTTGTCAATAATAAATAGTCAATTTCAAGTGAAGTCAGCTTTTATTTGTATAGCGCCAATAATTCACAACATAAGTTATCTCAAAGCACTTTCCAAATAGAGCAGACCTTTTCTTTATAATATTATTTACAGAGACCCAACAGTTCCCACCAAGGGCAGCACTAGGCCACAGGGGCAAGAAAAGACTTCCTCATAGAGGCAGAAACCTCAAGCAGAACCAGACTCAGGGTGGGCGGAGCCATCTGCCCCGTAAATAAATAAATAAATAAATAAAGAGCAAAAAAGCAAAACAGTCAGAATTTTGACATAATTAGTATTTTATAGTTTTGAATTGCTCATTATTTGTTGTTGTTGTTTTAATCAGACTTATTTTTCTTGAACAGAAACAGGCCTCCATATCTCTGAGGGAGTCTCTAGTTACTTTGAGGTAAAACACGCAGAGTGTGTTCAGTACGATGCAGACTGAGCCACTGAGAGACAGAGACATTAAACCGTCTCATTTAATGACCATGAGCTCTAAACTTAGAAAAGACGACATTCAAAACCCCTTCATCACTCACACACACACACGCTTCCTAATGTGTATTTTTAGATTAAATAAATCACATCACTTTACTCTTAAACATTCAACTTCATTGTAATGATAACAAGCAGGAAATTATATTAAACTAATTCATAAATGTTTCATTGTTGAAATCATACAGATTATAATTTACTGAGTCAACACATATTTTGGTTTGAGGAGGGAGGTCTGGGGTGGTGACCGACCCGCCCCAGGGGAAGGCAAAAACTGTTGCTTTCAAAATAAAAGTGGCAACCATATGTCCCCCTCTCTTTTTACATGTTTACCTGTGTTAGTCACATTACTGTTATAGTTACACTTTTGTAACTATTAACTAAATTAACTTTTAGTGTTTTATCCTGTAATTCTTTAACTTGTTTGTTACTTTCATTTTTATTTTTGTGTTTGCATGTCTCATAGTTGTCTCCTCACTGCATGGAGAAAAAAATTCCAAACAATGCATGCTGGGAAGTCTGTTAATATGCTGGTTTTGTTCCTTAAAAAAACTTAATTTAATGAGTTGAATGAACGTCAGTAGTTCATTCATTCAACTCATCATTTCAAGTCAGTCACAATTCAGAAAAGCTTGTTTTCATAAGCTCTAAAATCTGAAAATGAAAACTTTCTAAGTCTAATTCACTTGATATTTAAAAAGTTTAAATGAATGAGAATAGATGAGTTGATTCTACTAAATGTTTTACAGTGTAGTTAGAGCCCTGTTGTTTGTAAAGTACAACTAAAGTACAAACTGAATTAATTTTCATCAATTTTGCTGAAACGTATAAAATCACTTCTGGAAAACCTTTATCGACATGTGGTCTTATTTTGAATGTTGGAACCGGAAGTTTAATTTGTACCAATGCTAGCGGGCTCAACGCTGTTTTAAAGTGTCTTAAATGTTCTAAAAATGCGTCAAATAAGACAGAAATGTACAAATAGTCTTCACTATTGGCAGATCTGTCTCCATGAGAGCAGATTGTGTGTTAGCTTCACTGACAGTTGAGTTTGAACACGTTAGTAAACGATGTTAACGTGCTAACGGTTAGCTAACCTGCGGGACTTCTGCGGGTTATTTTAGTTAGGAACAGTCTCGTGTCAGTTTGTGCTCGGTATAAATACACGCAGCTGCACGTGCAGGACGGTCACGCTCGCTGCGGTGTACTTTAACAGGAAGGGGCGGCGGAAAGGAGGAGCCGCTGCTGCGGTACAACTTTAAGTTTCCCCGCTCCATTTCCTCGTCTTCCCCCTCACTGTCCTGCCCTGATCCGGCTCACCCTTCTCTGCGGGACGGTAAACTTACAGAAAGCCCCCGAAATGTACCGGTATATCGGAGAGCTACTCACCCGGGGAGCGGGCAGTGTCCTGGCCTCGGGCTGCTCCGCCGCTGCTGCCGCCGCTGACTCGTCTCTCGCGGCTTCCGCGTCTCTGCTGCGGTACCGCAGCTACAGCCAGGCCGTGGACCGGGACGACGACCCCAACTTCTTCACCATGGTGGAGGGCTTCTTCGACCAGGGAGCCGCTATCGTGGAGGACAAGCTGGTGGAGGATCTGAAGACCCGGGAGAGCCCCGAGCAGAAGAGAAAGAAGGTCCGCGGGATCCTGCGGATCATCAAGCCGTGTAACCACGTCCTGAGCGTCAGCTTCCCCATCAAGAGGGACAACGGAGAGTGGGAGGTGATAGAGGGCTACCGGGCTCAGCACAGCCAGCACAGGACGCCCTGCAAGGGAGGTGAGACCCGCACCTGGACCCGGGTATCACAACAGTAGTTGGTTCTTTATAACACTATCACAGCAGCATGTAAGACTTTAAAGTTTAAACCAGACTCAGGAAGTTACTACAGTATTATTTGATGATGATGATGATGATGATAATTATTATGATGATGATTATTTATAAGATAAGCTCACTGTCAAAGGTAAACACTCTTACACACAGGTACAAAATAACAACACTGAAGTGTCAGTGACATGTAAACATACACTAATAAAATATGTCACCCTGTCAGTTGAGCCCATTGTTCAAAATAAGGTGGATTTTTTTGTGTGAAGAGGGGGTGGGAGGGGGGGTGGGGGGCAGTCAGACTCCTGAGGTTCAGGCTGTAGGTCCTGAGCAGGTTTACTGAACAGGTGGAGCTGCTCATTCAGTATAATAATCAGTTCACAATAATCTGCTGGATATTCTCCCACCAAGCTCAAAGTGCTGGATCTGTCCAGAGTATATGCAGAACAGAGACCCACTGGTATTAATCTGAGCCTCTGCATGGTGCTGATCTGATCAGCCTTTTAAGATTATAACAGTCATTTACATGCTTTTAAAAGTAAAAACACTGATGCAAGTTAAAGTCGTGCATCAGAACTACACTGAAGTAAAAGATCAGAACGTAAATGATGTTGAAGCATCAGCAGTCACAGTCTGCACAGAGCAGACCTCCTTTAGAGAGCTGTACTGAAGGTTTACACAATAAAAGTAAAGTGAGGACGCTTTCAAAATAAAACCATGAACAGTTTTTATCTCTCAGTGAAGTCTGATCAGGGTTTGCTGTGATTATTGGATTATTATGTAAATATCATAGAGTTGATGTGTTTTAATGAGACTGTAACACTAATAACTTCCTGGTTTCCAACAGAAGACCCGACCTGACTGAACAAGACTTCATGTTATACTTCATGTTGTCATACGTCATCATCAGCTGAAACTCTGTTAAAACAATAATTTAATTGAATTTAATTCAATGCTGTGTTAACCACTAATATGAAATGCATCAATTCACATTGTGACATCACCTCACAGTGTCATCATCATCATCATCATCATCATCATCATCATCATCATCATCACTTTTCTATCAGCTTGACTTTGTTGGTTTGATGGAATCTTTGAATAAAGCGAGAAACAAATTATTTTAATAATAATAATAATAATAATAATTAACTTTATTTTGTGAACACTTTTCATACAAGAGCTGAAGCTCAAAGACCTTTACAATAAAAAACATCTGATAGTTCAAACAAACAAGGGCAGACTGACGGACAATGAAAACAGACAATAGAAAGACAGTAGATGATAAAATATGTAAATTAAAAATAAAAATAGAAACCAGTGAGGACAGTAAAATATGAGAGAATTCATTAAAAGTTAATTAAACAGGTTTAATCTCTTACAGCTCAGAGTTTCAGTTTTGGATCACAGTTAAAAAAAAAAACTAGTGTGTGTGTTTGTGTGTGTGTGATTGTGTAACACATACAATTCTGTGCATGTTGGACGGAGCGTCAGGCAGGTTGAATGTGGTTGAAGGTGGAGAGGTTTCCTCCCCTGACAGGAATGCTGAGAGTCCAGTCAGCTGCTGGTTCACTTGCTGTGTGTGTGTGTGTGTGTGTGTGTTTTTTCATCACACGTGCTGCAGTCTGAACACACACACACACACACACACACACACACACACACACAGAGGAGTCTGGTAGACACAACAACCTTTAACCTCTTGGTTTATTAACATTTGTTCTGTATTTACATTCAAATAAAAAGGCGAGGAGATCAAAGATTAAAGAGAGTCGACTTCAGGAATCTGAAACAGAACAGATAAAATGATGTTTCACTTCAGGTTCAGTCTCACACCACGACCGCAACATAAAACCTGACTTTACAACAGCTGAAACAATGAGAATAAACTCAGAGCTGTACATCACATGACAAGCTGCTGCAGCTGCAGAGCGATAATACGTCACAGCCTGATGCTCATTAACATCAGCTCCTGTTGCTGGTTTGTTCGTTCATTAGCAGGATGTTTTAAAAACAGGAACAGACTGAAGGTTTTCTCCTGAGTGTAGAACTGATCCACAGGCAGAGGGATGTTCACATGAACATATTAACATGTTGAGAGGCTGCTGAGTCTTATCTGAACTGGGATCAGAGCCGAGGGCCGCGTGGAGTCGTTTCCTCGACAGCAGTGACAGGAAATATTCCAGGAAACTTTCAGGAAGCAGCTCAGATCTCAGAGTTCCAGACCAGTTCAACTGAAACTGAAGCTCCTGCTCAGGGTTGGTGAGGTGTTCTTATTCCTCCACGTCAGCGTCAGTCAGAGCGTCTGATGACACAGATTCCTGAGGCTTGATAATAATTTAATGTTGATTAAAAATGTATGTGACTCTGAAATAACTGCTGCAGCTTTCTAAATCCAGACCAGCTCATTCTGACTGATCCAGATCCTGAACCAGGTCCTGGACTGTGTGAGAGGAGGTCCGTGACTGAGTCCATGTGAAAAATCAGTCAAGCCGTTAGTGTGTTAGGGATCCACTGATGTGGTTTGTCAGGGCCGGTTCAGATACTGATTATTAGTAATCAAAGAAAGTGATTACTGATCTTTGGAAGCAACATGACACCCCAGGTCTACTGCGACTGGCGACTGTCTAATGAGGACTGGCGCTGTGGCGTCCAGGTGTCTCCATAAAATAGAGACAAAGAGTCCACATCGTTGATATCAGTGAAGGTAAATTACAAACAGCTGTATAATGTGACACAGCTCCACAATGATCATCAACATCTGTCTGAAACAGTTTTAATACAAACTAAAGATTAAAACCTTCATGACGGAGGATTCACTGCAGGACTGTATCACAAACAGCCGCTCCTCTCTAACCTGTACAACACGGATGTGTTTTCACTGTCCAGCTGATCCTGTACAACCAGTTACATGTTAAAACTAGAACCACCTCCTCCTCCTCTCAGACTGGTTCCAGGTAGCTTCCTGTTTATCCACAGTCAGAGGAAATATTGACTGTGTGTGTTAAGTCTTGAGTAATGGCTAAAAAGAGTTTTGTGAGGTAACACTGACACTGACCTTTGACCACCAAAATCTAATCAGTTCATCGTTGAGTCCAGGTGAATGTTTGTTGACTGTGAAGTCACTGAGATATCGTGTCCACGAGAACGAGACGGACAACCTGAAAACAAGATGTCCGACTCTGACTGTTGCCATGTGGAGGAATAATAAAGATATTCAAATACATGAAAATAAAACCAGGAGTTTGTCCAGTGAGCAGCAGCTGGAGGAAGGAGCTGCTCCATGACTCTATTATATGTGTCACAAAGTGAAGTGGAGTCCTCGTCCTCTGGTCTCTGTTGTTGTTGTTGTTGTTGTCGTGGTTGTTGTTGTTGTCGTGGTTGTTATGATGGTTGTGGTGGTTGTTGTTATTATGGCGGTTGTGGTGGTTGTTGTTGTGGTCGTTGTTGTGGTTGTTGTGGTTGTTGTTATGGTGGTTATTGTGGTTGTTGTGGTTGTTATGGTGGTGGTGGTTGTTGTGGTGGTTGTTGTGGTGGTTGTTGTTATGGTGGTTATTGTGGTTGTTGTTATGGTGGTTATTGTGGTTGTTGTTGTGGTGGTTGTTGTGGTTGTTATGGTGGTGGTGGTTGTTATGGTGGTTGTTGTGGTGGTTGTTGTTATGGTGGTGGCTGTTGTGGTGGTTGTTGTGGTGGTTGTTGTTATGGTGGTTGTTGTGGTGGTTGTGGTTGTTATGGTGGTGGTGGTTGTTGTAGTGGTTGTAGTTGTTGTTGTTGTGGTGGTTGTTATGGTGGTTGTTGTGGTTGTGGTGGTGGTGGTGGTTGTTGTGGTGGTTGTTATGGTGGTGGTGGTTGTTGTAGTGGTTGTAGTGGTTGTTATGGTGGTTGTTGTGGTTGTGGTGGTTGTTGTGGTTGTTATGGTGGTTGTTGTGGTTGTGGTGGTTGTAGTGGTTGTTGTTGTGGTGGTTGTTATGGTGGTGGTGGTTGTTGTAGTGGTTGTAGTTGTTGTGGTGGTGGTTGTTATGGTGGTTGTTGTAGTGGTTGTAGTGGTTGTTGTGGTTGTGGTGGTGGTTGTGGTTGTTGTTGCGGTTGTTATGGTGGTTGTTGTGGTTGTTGTGGTTGTGGTGGTGGTTGTGGTTGTTGTTGCGGTTGTTATGGTGGTTGTTGTGGTTATGGTGGTTGTTGTGGTGGTTGTTGTGGTTGTTGTGGTTGTTGTTGCGGTTGTTATGGTGGTTGTTGTGGTTGTGGTTGTGGTGTCAGATCTGACTGTAGCTGAGGGTGGAGGTGTTTCAGCTGTCTCAGTGTTGGAACCTGTGCAGCAGGTGAAGGGTGTGGTTCACACTGGTGTCTTTGTACTGTTCCTTTAAATGAGGCTGTTGTAGCAGACCACACCCACACTGACTGACCACCTCCTCCTCACGCCACTCCGTCTGCTTCCTCTCTCTCCTCCACACTCCTCTCTTTATTCCTCTTCCTCGTCTTTCTTTCTTCTTCCTGCTTCACTCTTTAGTTTTCTGTCTGTTCCTGCTGCTGCTCAATAAAAACTGCCCCGAGTTTAAACTTGAACCCGTTGGTCTGTTTCCTCTTGTCTCTGAGCTGCAGCCATTTTGTGCGTCTCCCTGCGGCGGCAGCAGCAGCAGCAGCAGCAGCAGCAGCAGCAGCGTTGTGTTTTCAGGGATGTGAGTGTTGGCTCAGCTTCATGCACAACTCCCTCCATTTCTGTGTTTTTACCTTTTTACCACTGAGCAGCAGAGGAACTGACTTCAAACTTTAACACCGCTAATGATCCTTCGTTGTCTGTAAACTTTAATCCACAATTAATTTCACTTAATCAGGCAGAAAACAGTCCCAGCTAATTAGTCTGATTTTTCCTAAAACCCAAAGAAGTGAGTTCACCGTGATGTTGGTGTTTCACATCACAATATGTGTCTGTTAATCTCCTGCTGCTGCTTGTTTTAATGAACTGTTGAAGGGAACTACAGGAACCTGGTGAATGAATGAATGAATGAATGAATGAATGAATGAATGGAGGTGAGAGGTCTTCAGTGATTACAGAAGAAGAAACACAATATACACTGTTCTGCACATGTGCTAAAGATTAAGTGGTTGGTACAGGAGTATTGAAAAATAAATAAATAAATATCAATATTTAAAAAATAGAAATATAAAAATAGAGCAAAAAATAAAATAAAAGAATAAAAATATATAAATAAAAATCGGAGTTATAGTTATGTTTTAGCTGCTGCCAATCAAACAGACCGGACTCAAACAGTCCTCAGGTCTGATCCAGTTCCAGACCCAGACCTGGACCGGAAGTGGACCAAGATCTGAGGATCTGGACTTGGGACCCGGTTCAGGTTCAGTTCTGAAGAATCAGAGTTTTTTCGTGTGTGTGTTTCAGGGATCCGTTACAGTACAGACGTGTCTGTGGACGAGGTGAAAGCTCTGGCCTCGCTGATGACGTATAAATGTGCCGTCGTCGGTGAGTACACACACACACACACACACACACACACACATACACACACACACACACACACACACACACTTCTCTGGTGTCTTGGTTCTGCTCTTTAAATGAAGTGGATGTGTTCCAGATGTGCCGTTTGGTGGAGCCAAAGCCGGAGTGAAGATCAACCCGAGGAATTACTCTGTAAGTTCACACACAACCTCCAGTCTCTCTTCTCCTACAGTTGCTCTGTTCCTCAAACACACCACATCTGATTCAGTCAGTGAGGGTAAAGAGAAGCAGTCGGAGAGGAGAACGTGTCGATCACATCTGTCCTCTCTTCAGCCTCTCAGTTTTATTTGTTCATTAATCATGAGGAACGAGTGAAAACACTGAGTTGACCTGGTTGATGAGAAGCAGTTCATGCTGCAGTGGAGACGTGACGGAGCGATTACACCCAGTGCGCTGATCAGCTGACCTCGGTTCATATTCTGCATTAAATGTTTCAGTGAAGAAGAAAATCTCAGGTGAAACTCGAGGTAAAGATTGGACCCTGGGACTGACAGCTGACATGTGACCTGTGATCTGAGGAGGTGATTGGAGGATGAACTGAGGGAAGTTTGTCTAGAATGGTTTTCAAAATAAAAGCAGGTCAGCGACATGTGGAGAACTGCAGCCTCTGACCCTCAGTATGAACTGTGCATCACCATCATCATCGTCAGATATTTACTCTAATGTGAAATAACAGTGTATGTTCCTTTAACTGGTGATAACACTGTTGACACCACCCACCCCACCCCACCCCCATCTGCTGCCCAGTGATTCAGGAAATGCTGAACCATCAACTGCCAGAGAGAAAATTAACTCTCTCTCTCTCTCTAACATGATGAGTCAATAAGTTTCTCTCTCTCCACATTGACTTCATGCCTCTCTCTCCCCCTCCCTCTCCCCCTCTCTCCCCCTCCCTCTCTCTCTCTCTCTCTCTCCCTCTCTCTCTCTCTCTCTCATGTGTCTACTCTTCTCATCACTCTCTCTTCTCTCTTTCGTCACCTCTCTCTTCCCCCTCGCCCTCTCTCTCTTCTCCCCCTCCCTCCCTCTCTCTCTCTCTCTGCTGTTGAACACATCAGCCTTCTCACGTGTGCGGCTCTGTCAGGCCTGCTGACCTCTGACCTTTGACCTTTTCACAAGAAGAAGTTCCAGGAATCAGATTCAGTGTAAACAGACAAGAGTCAAACCAGTTGTTGTTGCTCCAGTTGAACTCTGTCTGAGGAAGGTGAATCCATCTGTCACTTACACACTCATCCAGGTCCGGGGTAATTAGTTCATTAGTGAATTAGTTCATTAGTGAATTAGTTGATGACATCAGGAATAACTAAAGTTCTGATCATTAAAGCAGCTTCCTGTAAGTTTATATCCAGGACAAGTTGAATGGAGGGAAACTGGACTCACCTGTAGAAACTTCAGGTATCATGACGTGGACGACTGAGAATCTTCAGACAAATCAGCTGTCTGTACGTGTTGCTATCGCTATATAGCTAACATTAGCATTAGCAGCTGTTCACTGACCACTCTAAAGAAACGTTGTGAGTTCATTCCTTTACTCACCAACATCTGTCTCCAGAGGTGGAAACAAACACCGACCGCTCTTCTTCTACTGACGTTAGCATGCTAACAGCTAGCCCCGGTCCGTCTGATTGTCTGATTCATATTACAACCTGTTGTCTCGTAAACACAACGATGGCTGAAGTGACATCACCTCCACCTGCTCCTGATAATAGAAACCACATGCAGCTCCTTTAAATTCATGTTTTTAGTAAGTGATAGTCATCCTTTTTGTCCCTGCTGAGTTTCCGTCCTTCTCAGTCTGATCCTGAAACAGGTTTTAACTTGTGCTGTTAAAATTTTAATTAGTTTTAAGGAGGTTCAGATTGATAACACTCTGGTATCTGTCAGGACAGGGTTAGCCTAGCTTAGCCTAGCTTAGCATGAAGTCCCTGTCCACTCTCTCGCAATAATATTATGTATTTAATATTAATATTAAACATGTTTGCATTTGTTTCTTTATTTTTCATTTCAGCAGGTAAAAACCTGTTTCATTCCACTTTGTGGCTGAATCATCATCAGACTGATTGTTTTAATTAACACAGCAGAGTAATCAAGTTATTTTAAATGTTTTACTCCTTTTTTCCTTCCAAATAAATCTACTGAAGGTTTTATTTAATCATATGAATGAACAAGTTTTGAAATAAAAACTTCTCTGAGCACAAAGCCTGGAAGCAGAGGCAGAGGTTCACCTGTCAACACCTGTAGGTGTACAGTAGATCCGTCCTCAGAGAGTTTTAACTGAACTGATCGCGTCTGTGTTTTTGTTTCAGGACACTGAGCTGGAGAAAATCACCCGGAGGTTCACGATCGAACTCGCCAAGAAAGGCTTCATCGGTGAGTGAAGGTGTCTCTGGTCTCCAGGTGCAGCAGATCACACCAGAGAGATTCTGTTTTTACAAACCTGAGTCACAGAGTGACCAGAGAAAACACACTGAACTTCATGAACATCTGACGGTTGATTTGATCTAGTTTTATAATCCTTTTTAAGTCGTCAGTAGTTTTTATTGAATCTTACTGACTTTGATGTGTTGTGTTCTTCCATCTGTTCGCCTGTGTTTAAATGTTTTATACAGTCTGATGTTGGAGCTAATTAAAGTCTATTGTATCTTTAAGACACTTGATGTCTTTGTTCCCTGTCACCTGTCACACCTGTCCAGAGTCACTCCGCTGCGTTCACTTTACCTGTGTGTCTCTGTGGTTGTTCAGGACCTGGTATCGATGTGCCTGCTCCGGACATGAGCACCGGGGAGCGGGAGATGTCCTGGATCGCAGACACCTTCGCCACCACCATGGGACACTACGTGAGTCTGAGGGTTAACCTGCATGGCATCCATGACACACGTCCTAATGTACAACACAGAATAATGACATTAAATGAACAGCAGAGAGATCATGTGATGGATCATTGTGACACTTGATCTCCGGTGGACCTAACGGAGTCTGATGTGAGAGTCACAGTGTTGATTTTGTTGTTCAGATCATCAGTCAACAGCTGACATACAGAGAAGCTCTGGACTGTACTGTGAGCTCAGAGTGATGACCATCACAACACAGGAAGTGTCTTTCCTCTACTTCCTGTTTGTTTGCTGCCAGTGATGTGAATGTTCGTTAACAGCTGTTTAAAGATGAAGCTTCACGTCAACATGTCGAGCTCACAACCTGCAGTTTGATCTGTTGTCTGTCAGGAACAGCCAGCCAATCAGAGACAGGGCTGTTCTGTCACCTTATTAAAGCTTATTATGTAAAGATAATAAGCTTCATTAAAACTGTCACTGCACACATTTTATTTTGAAGTTCTCTCACTTCTCAGAGAATCAGGTGACCAAGACGTGATTTACTGTACAGAGTGAATTTCATGCTGACCTGATGGAGCTGGTCGTCTATTAATCGTAGTGTTGGTGTTCGATCTCCAGCTCCTATCAACATGGCACAAGTCGCCTGATGATCTTTAATTATCTTAATTATAATTTTAATCATTAATTATCTTCAGATGACTCTTTAAACAAGTGGCTCAGTGGATTATTGAAGCTGCAGTTCCTGAATCATTTGATTGGCAATGACATCATCAGTGTTGATTTGAGACATTAAAGTATATGAAGCCTGAGGTGTGTCTGTGTGACTCCTCCTCCTCAGGACATCAACGCTCACGCCTGCGTCACGGGGAAGCCCATCAGTCAGGGAGGGATCCACGGTCGCATCTCCGCCACCGGACGAGGAGTTTTCCACGGCATAGAGAACTTCATCAACGAGGCGGCCTACATGAGCCAGCTGGGCATGTGTCCCGGCTTCCAGGACAAGACCTTCATCATCCAGGTAGGCCCCGCCCCCTTCTCCTCATCATCAGCCAACACGTCTGAAGAAAGAGGAGGAGGAGAACGAGCTGATCAAGGAGATTTATTTTACTGTTTCTGTTCAGCACACAATACTGTCAACAAACACTGTATGTTAGAGCTACAGCTAACAGCTAACAGCTAACTAACAGCTAGTTAACTGGTAGCTGTTAACTGTTAACTAACAGCTAACAGCTCTAAACTGTTGAAAATATCCCACACATTAAACTTCGACCTGGTGGTGGCGCTAGAGGAAAAGTCAGAGGATCATCAGAGTTGGTGTGTGTGTGTGTGTGTGTGTGTGTGTGTGTGTGTGTGTGTGTGTGTGTGTGTGTGTGTGTGATGACTGGGTTAACGTGCACTCTGCTCTGCCTGCAGGGTTTTGGTAACGTGGGTCTTCACTCCATGAGATATCTTCATCGCTTCGGAGCAAAGTGTGTCGGAGTCGGAGAAATGGACGGAAACATCTGGAACCCCAACGGCATCGACCCCAAAGAGCTGGAGGACTACAAACTGGTCTGTACTGGTTCAGTACCAGAGCTACAGTCTGGTCTGTACTGGTCAAATATTAACAAATAGGAACAGAAATGAATTTAAACATGAGCAACAATAACACATGAAGACCAGTGCGCCGCCTGTTGGAGGAACAGAGTTGCTACAGTTCAGTCTCATACAGAAGGTTTTTTAAACCTCAGTGATATGTTAATGTTTGAACACAGAGCTGTAATCAGTGTGTGAGGAAAACAACTCTTTGAGCTTTCATTCATTTATCTTTTATTATTATTTATTATTAATATTATTATTTATCTATTAACATATGAAATGTATCATCCTCTGACTGATCTTTGTGTCTTTGTGTCTCCAGTCCAATGGGACCATCGTTGGTTTCCCGAACTCGACGCCGTACGAAGGAAACATCCTGGAGGCCGACTGTGACATCCTGATCCCAGCCGCCAGCGAGAAACAGCTGACCAAGAGCAACGCACACAAGATCAAAGCCAAGGTCACACACACACACACACACACACACACAATCAAGTTATCCGAGCAGTAAACTCTCTGTGGTTGTCCTGTCCAGTTTTCCCATCATGCCTCAGTGCACTGACCTGTTCTGTGTCCCTTCAGATCATTGCAGAGGGAGCCAACGGTCCGACCACGCCTGAAGCCGACCGCATCTTCCTGGAGAGAAACATCATGGTGATCCCAGTGAGTCCAAGATGGCGTCTGTTCCTGTTTCTGTGTCTGATGATGAAGAGTTCGTTAGAAAGATCTAATGATCTCTCTCCTCTCCTCACCTCCTCTCTCCTCACCTCCTCTCTCCCCTGTCCTCTCTCCTCTCTCCTCTCTCCTCTCCTCCTCTCCTCACCTCCTCTCTCCTCACCTCCTCTCTCCTCACCTCCTCTCTCCTCTGTCCTCTCTCCTCTCTCCTCTCCTCCTCTCTCTCCTCTCCTCTCTCCTCTCTCCTCTCTCCTCTCTCCTGTCTCCTCTCCTCTCCTCTCTCCTCTCCTCCTCTCCTCTCTCCTCTCTTCCTCTCTCCTCCTCCTCTCTCTCTCTCCATCTCTCCTCTCCTCGCCTCCTCTGTCCTCAGGACATGTACCTGAATGCAGGAGGAGTGACAGTCTCGTACTTTGAGTGGTTGAAGAATCTGAATCACGTCAGTTACGGTCGACTCACCTTCAAATATGAGAGAGACTCGAACTACCACCTCCTCAGTGAGTGACCTTACACCTGTACATCAGTGAACACGGCCTCTTGGTTTCTATGACGACAGTTAACACCCCCCCACCCCACCCCCAACCCCCTACCCCCCCCACCCCCACCCAGTGTCGGTCCAGGAGAGTTTAGAGAGGAAGTTTGGGAAACATGGCGGCGCCATCCCTGTCGTCCCCACGTCTGAGTTCCAGGCCAGGATCTCTGTGAGTACACACAACTACTACTACTGATACTACTACTACTACTACTACTACTACTGATACTACTACTACTGATACTACTACTACTACTGATACTACTACTAATGATACTACTACTACTACTGATAGTACTACTGATACTACTACTACTTCTGCTCTGTATCCTGTGTGTCCTCCTTCTTCTTCTGTGGTGTAACTGTGTTTTGTTGCAGGGAGCGTCTGAGAAGGACATCGTTCACTCAGGTCTGGCCTTCACCATGGAGCGCTCTGCCAGGGTAACACACACACACACACACACACACACACACACACACACACACACACACACAATTACCTCATGATGTTAAAGGATCATCCCTCCCCCTCCTCCCTCTTCCCTCCCCCCTTCCTCTCGTGCAGCAAATCATGAGAACAGCCAACAAGTACAACCTGGGTCTCGACCTGAGGACAGCGGCGTACGTCAACGCCATCGAGAAGGTCTTCAAGGTTTACAGCGAAGCCGGCCTCATCTTCACGTAGACGCACCTCCATCCACCTGTCGGTCTGTCACCTGTCTGTCTGTCACCTGTCTGTCTGTCTGTCTGTCTGTCTGTCACCTGTCTGTCTGTCTATCTTCATCGTCTCTACAGGACTTCTTCACTGACCTTTCGTTGAGGTTGTTCTTCTTCTCTCATCTGTTTACGATCATCTTCTTCTTCTCTCCATGAATTGGAGTTGAACTCAGCAGCTTCCTGCTCGTCTCGACCTGAACATGAAATCATCTGAACGCCTTAAACCACAGACACTGTCACAAGCTGCCTGCATCACATTATGTGGACAGAAGTATGTGGACACCCTCCTTCATCCATCCATTATTAGGCCAGTGTTTGTCCCCATGATTATTGATTATTAATGAAGGAAAACCATGAATCTTAGTTTTATTCTGGTGATTCACTGGATGATTTGAGGTGTTTTTTATAGAATCAGACAAATTGAGAGAAAATGAATCAGTTTCACATGTGAATATTTTCAGATCTGAAGACGTCACCTTCCACTGTGGGAAATCATAAAGTCAATGTTTCACCACAGCTGCAGCTGCCCTTCATTTTCAGACAGTCACAGATTATTGGTTATTGATTAATCATTTAGTAAATAGTAAAAACATTTTCAGTTAAATATAGAAAAGCAGAAAATGTTCACATGTGAGCAGCTGGAACAAAATGATCATTAGTTGATTATTAAAACTGTAGATTTACACACAGTCACCAGTTTTTACTGGTTTTTACTGGTTTAGTTTGAATCATTTTGTAAAGGCCTGAAACATTTAGAATGATCCAGTTATTATTTCACAATAAAACAAATCTTCACGTCAGAGAAGTTGAGAACAGAAATGAACTCTAATAAACTGATTGTGAGTGTTAGCGGTGTCCACATACTTCTGGCCACGTATTCACTGTTTGTCTGTCTCCAGGTGAAGAGCTTGTATAGATATTTTTTTTATTATAATGCACATGTGCCTCAGGACTTTAGCTTTAATATTTACCGCCTTTGGAGAAACGTCATTAAAGGAGCGTTCCTGTGTTTTTCTGATGATGATGATGATGATGATAAAACTTCAGTCAGCTGGTCTCACGTTACTTTAAGTTTAGCTGTATAAAGTATTTAATAACTATCAGGATGTTTTAAACAAGTAGTTAATTAGTCAACAATCAAAAACAATTTGTATATAATATTTGGAGACATTTGATTTTATTCCATGATTCATGTTGTTGATGATGATCATCTGTTTCTCACAGAGGGTCAGAGTCACATGGCTCCGATCCTCTTCCCTCCACTGACCTGTTTACATCTGTTTACATCTGTTTACATCTGTTTACAGCTGTTTACATCTGTTTACAGCTGTTTACAGCTGTTTACAGCTGTTAATTATGTTGTTGTTCATCAGCTATTTACAGGTCATCATCCGTCTGTTACATGTTTACCTGCTGATCAACAGGAACCAGAGATTGCACAGTAAAATGTTTCCTACTGACGCAACAAACAGCAGCAGGGTGGAAATAAACCACTCTTCATCTTCATCTTCATCATCATCAGTAAAATAAAAACCTGGAACGATCCTTTAACTGTCATCTCCTCGTTTCGCTGCAGTCAACAGGAAGTTGACTTTAAATAAAAACTCCTCAGTTTGTGTTTCCTCTGTTCAGACCGTGACACAGTTGTAGCTAAATGCTAAATGCTAAAGCTAAAGTTAATCTATGCAGTTAAACTGACAGGACTGTAGCTGCCCTGTGACCACTGACACAATAGACTCTGCCTGATGAGACCAGGTCTCACAGGGACCAGGTCTCACAGGGTCTGAGAGGGACCAGGTCTCACAGGGTCTTAGAGGGACCAGGTCTTAGAGGGACCGGATCTTAGAGGGACCAGGTCTCACAGGGTCTCAGAGGGACCAGGTCTCACAGGGTCTGAGAGGGACCAGGTCTCACAGGGTCTTAGAGGGACCAGGTCTCAGAGGGACCAGGTCTCACATGAGGGACCAGGTCTGAGAGGGACCTGAGACCCTGTGAGACCAGGTCTGAGAGGGACCTGGTCTCACAGGGTCTTAGAGGGACCAGGTCTCAGAGGGACCAGGTCTGAGAGGGACCTGGTCTCAGAGGGACCAGGTCTCACAGGGTCTCAGAGGGACCAGGTCTCAGAGGGACCAGGTCTGAGAGGGACCAGGTCTGAGAGGGACCTGGTCTCAGAGGGACCAGGTCTCACAGGGTCTCACAGGGTCTCAGAGGGACCAGGTCTCAGAGGGACCTGGTCTCAGAGGGACTGGGTGGATCAGACAAACTCAAACTGACTGAACTGTGATGAAGCTTTAAGTGACTGTCGGGCCCCTGGATGAACAGCTGAGTCCTCCAGGGGCCACAGACCGTCCGCCCCCCGCCCCCCCGCTTCAGACTGCAGCTCAGACCACTCCGAGTCTCAACATTTGTTTTTCTGCTGCGCTGCCACCAGAGAAAACCACCTGAGTCCTGAGTCCTCTGACCTCTGACCTCTGACCTCACTGCTGCAGTAACACAGGGACACAGTCAAACCAAGCTTGTGTCCTCCGCTCTGACTGATGAGGAGTTTTTAAACCTTTTTGTTAAACTGAAATAAAGAACACAGAAAGTCTGAGTGTGTTTCTGTTTCATAAATCACACGTCACACAGCTGGATACAAACACGCTACAGATGTTGATGATGAACAGACCTTTGAACGTGTTAAAGAGTCTTTCACTTTATTTTATTCAAATTTTTGGATTTTAGCTAAAAAATATTACTGATGTAAAATTCACCTGTAAACTTCAAATAAACTGGTTATTTTTCATTAGTTACTTCATGCAGCTCCAGGTGTCTAAGATTCAGATATTATTATTATTATTATTGTATACAACCAGGCAGTGCTGGTTCACTATAATCATTTATTAATATCATTCATTCATTAATAAATCACATTTTTATTTATTTATTTTTGCTGTTCTCACTGTTTATTTCTTAAATAAAAATCTTTTTTTTTTTTTATTATAACATTTTTTTGGTTTTTGATTGGATATTTTATTAGTGTGTCTTGAGGGCGGGATATTCTTCCTCCTTCCACCAATCAGCGCGACGTATTTGCCGCATGGCTCCGGAATTCCCCTCCAGCTCCGGGGCTTTCCGCTCTGACTGACAGGCTGCGGTCACCATGACAACGGAGCGGAGTTGCGTCAGGCCCGTGGAGGCCGAAGAGGACATGACTTCCGGTTAGGCGGGGTAACTGTAAAAATAAAAGCTGAAACAGATTCCTTTTCAATCTGTAAATAGATTTTGAATCATTGGAAACATTGACACAGAAATAAAAACTAAATAATAAAAACTACCTGGCTTCAATGAAAATGAGTTTGTCAAAAAATTGAAAAAATTGTTATTCTATGATTAAAACACAGTTAAACATTAATGTCATTATTTCCTGGCCAGACTGAACTTCCATACAGGTTTTACTTGTTTGAGATATTTGAGTTATTCTGTTCACGTTTTAAATATAACTCACAGTGAAAGTGAACAGACTCACAAACTTTGTTTATTTATTATAATTTAATTATAAATTTGGATCATAATAATTAAAATGAAATATTGTGAATTTAATTATAATTTATTCCCTGTGGTTTAAATTCTGTGTTTAGGACAAAAAATACAAGTAAGAGAATTATGAGCAGGTATTTACTTTGCCTATTATCTGAAGAAGAACCAAACATAAAGCTAGCGTGAGTGTTTTACTTTGAAAAGCAGAAACAGGACGTCAGGTCAGCCGTGTTGCAGCTGTTTCTTACTCGGGTCAGTTTGATTCTAGTGTTTTTCGGGGAATCGGACGTACTAACGGACACAGCAGCTGCTCGCAGGTAAAAACTCACCTTTAAACTTTAATTTGTACTCATTTTAACCGGAAGTGACGAGAAACTGAGAAAATGATCCAATCTTCACATTAACCACTGAAACTGCTCAGGTCAAGATTTCACTCCACGTCAAACTGAATTAAAGTCAATGTTTTTGAGTCTGAAATCCACTAAACGTTGTTTCTCTCTCAGTCAAACGTCAAGGACTCAATTTAAATTAATAAAGTTTTTCTTCTTTTCTTTCATCTAAATTTTCACTAAAATCAACTGATAAATCAGCTGATAAATTCACTGGTTTTCTCTAAATGAACAGCTGATTGTTGTTTATTGGTGAGGATAAAAAGATTAAAGATAAATTGATCAGCTGAGTTTTAAAGGTGAAAATTATGCAGAGAATAAAACATGAAGGAAACACTGTGCTGCTGTTTGATCAGATTGTGTAACAGAGGAAAATTACTGAAGCAGGAAAAACATCAGAGACTCTGAGAGGAATCAACTGTTCCTCTGACTTTAAACTGGCAGTTTTATTCCTATTTTTACACATGATTATTTTTACTTTCTGCAGTTTTACTTTCTTTTAGTTTTGTGATAGTTTCCTGTTTTATATTCAGGTTCATTCTTCGAAGTCCTGGCTTCACTAATCCAGGTTTATGAGTTAAAATCAGTTAGTTAGCCTGCTAACCATCACAAACCTGGTTTATTAAACACAGTTAGAGGCTTGAGTTGTTATTTTTGATAACAGTAAAATAACACCTGATCAACTATGTATTGATTATCTGATCATATGACGACAGATTGATGTTCATTTAAATCTGAGAAAACACATTCATCTGACTATGACATGAAACCTGACTAATTCTTAAATGATGGACTGTAACTAGGACTGAACGAAAAAATCATATTGTGATTATTCTGGTAAATATTATGATGAAAGTTAGGAGTCCATGTAAACAATAGTTTTTTCATTTTCACTGAAAAAAATATAAAAATAACGATAGATTTCTGTTGGTCTTGTTCCTTTACATCTGGAGAACATGATTTCTAGTCCGGGGTGTCTCAGTAGCACCACCACACTTATGGTGCTAACAATGCTAATGCTAACAATGCACAACAATGTGACACAGTTTATCTTCATCAAAGGAACTTCAGCTCCTGTGATTTGAATATTGCACTTGACCATATCGAGATTTTGATTATATTTTGATTCATTGTGAAGCTCTAACTGCAGCTCACGATTATTATCACTATTGATTAATCTGCGGATTATTTTCTCAATTGTTTGACTGATCAGTTTTTGCCTGTGATCATTCAAATATCTTGTTTAAATTGATTAATCAGATACAGATTACAGTCACAGATTAATTTTCTGTCGTTCAGCTAAAGTCTGATCCAAGTATCATGGAGATTTTTTCTGTATTTTGACATTTATAGATTGAACAATAATTTAAAACCTGATGATATCTCATCTTAATGGATGATCCCATAACCAGCCTGCAGATCCAGATCTGGATCCAGCTGCTGTGAGCAGGTTGAGGCTAACAGACGTGTTGCTCAAGACAACAGCTGCAGATCAACAACAGGAAATCCAGACGAGTCAAATCATCAACCATTGAATCAAAGTCAATCAGTTTTCAGTCAGGGAGTGATTCTGCTGTTTGTCCTGAAGGTGGCGCTGGAGACAGTTTGTCCTCTGAGGAGTCTGATCAGGAAGTGTCAGGAAGGTGGAATTTTTTCAAGGCTAGCAGTTTCCCCGTTTGCACTGTTTGTGCTAAGCTAGGCTAAACGCTGTCCTGAGGAGACACAGATATGTTGGTTTGTTTGTTCAGTCTCGAGGGAAATCAAGGATCATCCCCGAATCCTCCGAGAGGAGGAGGAGGAGGAGGAGGAGTGGAAATTCTCACTGAGATATCCCACTTTAGATATGACTCTATCACACACACATACACACACACACACACCCACACACACACACACACACACAAGGGCGTATGTTGGGTCTAAACATTGGTAGGGATGCACGACCTCGCCACCCCTCCAAAAAAAGAGACTGGCTTTTTAACACCGTCAACCAAACGGTTTATTAACATATGAGATCTGAATTTACATTCAGGAATGTCCATACGCAAATATGATATATGTTCATGTGTTGAATTTCCATGTATAAGATGTATGATAAATACATATGAAATAAAATCATACATGTCGTTAAAGAATATCCTTTATATGTAGAAATTACATATGAAACCTGTTAGACATCGGAATAATATCATATATTGACATGTATGTCTAGCTAATTATGTATATGTTTATGATATGTTTATGATTTGATATGTTTATATTATAGAAGAAAGTAGGTGATAAAAACAAGTGTATAGTAAGGCATGAACTGCACACTGAAAGGCCCCAGAAACTTCTGACTGCGAAGCGTCTGTTCTAACCATTGTAGCAGGAAGCCAGCCGAGCAGTGTACATTAAAGAATGTGACACTGTAAAGTAAAGCAGATCATAGTACAGTACGGCATGAGAACTTCATAGTATAGTAAGGGATGAAAAAAGTTAAACTATAGTATGTCATAAACAAGGTAATAGTATACTAAGGCATAAGAAAGACATAGTATAGTAAAGCTCCAGACCCGAACCCGTACCTTCAGATTGTGAGGTATTTGTTCAACCATTGTAGCACCGAGCCGCCCTGTGAAAATAACATTGTAAAGTAAAGTATAGAAAGATTATTAAAGTAAGGCATAAACAGTGGTGGTATGGGGCGTCGGGTGGCTCAGTTGGTTGAGCATCCGCCCCATGTGCGGAGGCTGGGGTCCTCACTACAGTCGGCCCCAGTTCGGGTCCCGCATCGGACGGCCCTTTGCTGCATGTCGTTCCCTCTCTCTCTGCCTCCCCATTTCCTGTCTCTCTCTACCTCACTGTCAATAAAGGCATAAAAGGCCCAAAAAAAAAATAAAAAAAAAAGTGGTAGTATAGTAAGGCATAAAAATATGAAATTATATTAAGGCATAAAAAGTCATGGTATAATAAACCATAAAAAGTGATACTATAGTAAGGCATTTAAAAATTATAGTGAGACATAAACTCCAGACTGAAAGGCTGCAGACTCGGGTTCAAAACAAGAACATTCTGACTGTGAGGCATCTGTTCTAACCGTTGTACCACCAAGCCAGCCTTTAAATGTAACACTGTAAAGCATAATAAGATTTTAGTATAGTTAGGCATAAAAGGCATAAAAGGCATAAAAAGTCATAATATTCATGGTGACATTTTCATGGGATTTTTAGACAGAAATTAAACTCATACTTTGATATATTTTATACTCTTACTAGCAGCTTCACTGCTAGCCTACAGAGGAGCTAACGCTAGCTAACATGGTTAAATAACATCAGTTACATCTTTCTGGTGACGTCAGGTACCACTGTGATATTCTCACATATCGTGATTCTTCAGATAGCCTTTCAACCCTTTCAGCCAATCAAATGCTAGCATGTCTAAATTGGTTGTCTTGGAGATGCAGACTCTTGGAGGCCACTTTGGAATCATCTAATATGACTTCACTCTAAACATAGTGCGAACGACTTCACTCATATAGTGGTCAGGACAATTCTTTAAATATTGGTAGGGACATGTCTCCACTGCCCATCTGCAAAGCTACACCCTCACACACACCCTCACACACACCCTCACACACCACACAATAGACACACAACACCCTGCACTAACACACACACACACACACATTGACACACACACAC